TCTGCATGTAGCTAGCCAGTTTTCCCAGCACATTTACTGAATAAGGAGTCCTTTTCCCATTGCTTATTTTTGTTGATTTTGTTGACAATCCGTTGGTTGTAGGTGTGTGGCTCTATTTCTGGATTCTCTATTTTGTTCCATCGACCTGTGTGTCTATTTCTGTACCAGTTCTATGCTGTTTTGGTTATTATAGCCTTGTAGTATAGTTTGAAGTCAGGTAATGTGATGCCTCTGGCTTTGCTCTAGGATTTCTTTGGCTATTTGGGCTCTTTTTTAGTTCCATGTGAATTTTAGAAAAGTTTTTTCTAATTCTGTAAAAAATGATGCTAATTCAATAGGAATTACATTGAATTTGTAGATTGTCATGGGAAGTATGGTGATTTAAGTGATATTGATTCTTTTAATCCATAAGCATGGGCTTTTTTTTCATTTTTTGTATCATTTCTGATTTCTTTCATTAGTGTTTTGCAGTTCTCTGTGTATAGGTCTTTCACTTTTTTGGTTAAGAGTATTCCTAGGTATTTTGTGTGTTTGTGTGGCTATAATAAATGGGATTGACTTTTTGATTTAGTTTGCAGCTTGAGTGTTAAATAGAAATGCAAGTGATTTTTGTACATCATTTTTGTATCTTGAAACTTTACTGAAGTTGTTTTCAAGTCTAGGAGTCTTTTGGAGGAGTCTTTAGGATTTTTCTAAGTATAAGATCATGTCATCAGGGAACAAAGATAATTTCACTTTTTCTTTTCCAGTTTGGATACTTTTGTTTCTTTCTCTCCCCTAATTGCTATGTTTAGGACTTCTAGTACTAGGCTATTTAGGAGTTGTGAGAGTGAAATCCTTGTCTTGTTCTAGTACTTAGGAGGAATGCTTTTTACTTTTCCCCATTCGTTATGATGTTGTGGGAGGGACGTGGTGGGAGATGATTGAATCATGGGGGCAGGTAATTCCTGTGCTGTTCTTGTGATAGTGAATGGGTCTCACCAGATCTGATTGTTTTAAAAATGGGAGTTTCTCTGCACAAGCTCTCTTTGCCTGCTGTCATCCACATGAGATGTGACTTGCTCCTCCTTGCCTTCCACCATGATTGTGAGGCCTCCCCAGCCATGGGGAAGTCCAATAAAACTCTTTCTTTTGTAAATTGCCCAGTCTCAGTACGTCTTTATCAGCAGTGTGAAAACAGACAAATATAGAGCTGTTGCTTCCTATTTTTGAATTTTCCAACATTTGAATGAGGCTTTTAAATTTTATATTCTTTTTTTCCTTGAGGATGTGACTGTAGTATGTACTGTGTATGATTGTTTGGCTTTGTTTCTGGGTGCTTTCAGGGGGCCAAGGGTCTGTATGGGTTCCTTGGTTATGGATATCATTTGTGTGGTGGCTTTCCCAGATGCTGCTTGTTGTAGTGATGTATAGGGTGTATGAGTTGACACACTGTCTTCTGTAGGGCTAGGAGTATGGAGTTCTCAGGAAGCTTGTCTCATACACTAGCACTGTGCTTTTCTGACAGCAGGTTTTCGTTTGATGATGCAGTTCAGTCTCTAGTCCAGTAAGTGATGCTTAAGGGTAAGAGGTATCTCACCGTCAGGTTGTTTGATGATGAGTAGAAGCCCCTGCCTTGATGGGGGTGCTGAGGTCTTAGGGGTGGGGGTCATGAGAGGGCTGTACCAGCTCCTCATCCTGGGTAGGCAGGAGCACAATCCATTACCTCTCACACTCGTTTCTCAGTGCTTATGCCCCTCAGTTCATATAAACGCTGTCCTTTGGAATGCTTCCATTGTGGCTACCACCAAAATGGCCTCGGGTCAGAGCCTCTTTCCCCAGGCCAGAGCAGTCAGCCCTGTGGCTTGTTTGTCCTTTGTTGCAGGGACATTGCTACTTTGTGTAGGGAGGGAGAGATGGGTCCCTGCCTTTTCTGAAAGCCCAGGCAGTAAGTACTGTGCCTCACTTTCAGTGGGGGTGCAGCCACTGTGAAAAGTGCACCAGTGCCAACTCCCAGTAGGGAAAGCCTCTCTGCATCTGCAACAGAGAATGGGTGAAGCAGGAGATGGTCCCCTCTCCATGTCCCTTCCCAGCTACTACTACTGTCCCTTTCAGAGATTGGTGCTGTGCCTACATTTTTTTTTGTCCCAAGGGGCACTTTGGTGGGCTGTGCTCCCCCTTCTCCTAGAAGCAACCTGCAGTGAGGGCTAGATTTCTGGGGTTCCTGCAGCTCCCCAGGGTCCTGCCAGTCCCCCATGGTTGCCAAAGTCAGAGTGGTTGTGGGGTATGTTTCTGGGGGATCTGGTGATACAACATCACAAAGGCTGAGGTTGCTTGGACAGGGCAGTGGCTCAGAACAGGTGTACAACCAGTATAGTGCCCACCATCTCAGTTCAGGCCTGAGGGGAGTGTCAGCACACTTGCATGAGTTGGTCACCTGGCACTCTATTCCCAGGAAGTTCCCAAATCACCACTGACAGCATTGCCTGGTGTCACGAAGGCAGAGGGGCTCTCCCACAATATGGCAGTGAGCAGTCTGTTACTGGGGTGAGGTAAGAAGAGATGCACCCTCACCTATGCTTTCGTAAGACTCCAGGCTCCTCAGGGGTCAGTGTCTGGCAGATTCTTGCTGTTTTCCTTTTCTCTGTCCCAGCTTCTTCCCATGGCCTCCCTGGCAGACCCTGGCTCACTTTCCTCTGCTCTTTCTTCATTTTAATTTCTAATACATAAATAGTGATAAATATGACTCACATAAGGAAAGTCCTTTTGGAATCCTCAAAATTTGTAAAAACATAAAGGCTCCTGAGACCAAAATGTGTGAGAACTGCTGAGCTGAGGGATGGTCAGAAGCATCTTCCAGTGAGAGAGAGCATCAGGATGCAGTAGGGCGGGCAGGTCTGCAAAGGAGGAAGGGCGATGGAGATCACATGTGTCAGTGGTACAATTTGACCTCAATTTGATCTGACAGGACCTATCTCCTACCTCCTATTTTAATGGTTTTATAAAATGTTGGTGATTGTCTGAACTGATTCTGTTTTCAATCTAAATAATTAAGTCACCTGCTCAAAGGTCTGCTATGCCTGTTAATTTCAGGGATTGGGATTCTGTGGCATTCCAAATTTTATCTGTTCTATCCGGCTGTCCTGTGGGCATAATTGTCGTTATGAGGCAGTTTTTTATTTCAGAAAATATGTCACTGTTGGTTTGAGTTTATAAATTTGGAGACTGTATTTTTAAAAAGTTTTTAAATAAATCTTTTTATTTTTGGATAATTTTAGATTTATGGAAAAGTTACATAGATAGTACAGAGTTCCCATATGACCCTCACCCAGTTTCCCCTATTGTTAACGTCTTACATTACTATAACATATTTGTCAAAACTAAGAAACTGATATTAATATGTTACTATTAACTAACTGTATACTTCATTTGAATTTCGCCAGTTTTTCCAAGTGTCCTCTTCCTGCTCTGGGATCCAGTCCAGAGCACCACACTGCTTTTAATTGTCTATAGCAGTTTCTCAGTCTTTCTTTGTTTTTTATGACCTTGACAGTCTTTAGGTATATTGGTCAGGTAACCTGTAGATGATGCCCAATTTGGGGTCTTTTTAAAATTATTGAACTAGGAATACGGTTTTTGGAAAGAAAACAACAGAGATGAAGTACCCTTCACATCAGATCATAGGAGAGTTACAGCATATCCACATGACGTCACTGGGGATGTTAACCTTCATCACTTGGTGACATCAGTGTTTGCCATGTTTTCAGGTTTCCCCATTGTGAACTTACTATTTTTCCTCTTTTCCTACTCTGTTCTTTAGAAGCAAGTCAGTAAGTCTAGCCCACCCTTTAGGAGTAAATTGCAGGAATTAAACTCTACTTCCTGGAGAGAGGGAATGTCTACAGATAGTAATTGGAATTCTAATGTAAGAAAGATTGGTCTCTTCTCCCCCTTTTATTTTTTCATTCATTTATTTATATGAGTATGTTGTATTGTATTTGTCAGGCTTCTCCAGAGAAAGAGAACAAATAGGATACACACAGACACACACACACACACACACACACACACACACACGAGATTTATTATAGGAATTGGTTCACATGGTTATAAAGGCTGAGAAGTCTCATGATCTGCTGCCTGCAAGCTGGAGACTCAGGAAAGCTAGTGGTGTAATTCAGTCCCAGACTGAAGGCCTGGTGTAAGTCTTAGTCTAATTCCAAAGCCCAAGAACCAGGAGCTCTGATGTTTGAGATCTGAAGAATATGGATGTCCCAGCTCAAGCAGGGAACAAATTTGCTCTTCCTTCATCTTTTTATTCTATTTAAGCCCTCAAGTGATTGAACGATGCCCACCCTCAATTTGCAAAAGTGATCTTCTCAATTCAGTCTACTGATTCATATGCCAGTCTCTTCCAGAGACTCTCACAGACGCACCCAGAAATAATGTTTTGCCACCTATCTGGGCTTCCCTTAACCCAGTCAAGTTAACACATACAATTAACCATCACAGTATGGACTCATGTATATTTATTTTATGCTTTGGAATATACTATGTGATTTATTTTGTTGTTCAAATTGTTTCAGCTTCCAAATGGCCATTGGGAACTTTTTCAGGTTGCTACCTGGGACCCTTTCATATGCCATTATCCTTTTCTTTTCTGAGTAGTTCCTTACTTTCTGGGGTTATAAGATATTCCAGGCTTATCTTGTGTTCTTCTTGTCCTGGTTTTAGAATCAGCCATTTTTTCTGGCTTCTCTCATTGGAGAATGGTATTTAGAAACTAAGATCTGGGTAATGGGAGTGCTTGTTGCTGTTGGGATGTCATTGCTTCCAGGCCTTCTCTGTAGAAGGAACTAGGTAATACATTAACCCATAGATATATATACATCTATAATTATTTCTATGTTTATCTATTTGTATATATGTTAAGATAAACATAATAAAGACCCTTCAAATTTGCTTATGTTCTTTCTCAGCCTATAGACCAGATATAATATTTAGCTTTTCTTCTCTTGCAGATTCCAGAAAGTCCTCTATTTAATATGTGCCTTCCAGAACATCTCCTGTGGTATTCACTACTTGGCTTCTGTGTTCATGGGAGTCGCCCCTTATCATATCTGTAGGCCCCCAGGCAATGTGAGTCAGGTTGTTTTCCACAATCACTCTAACTGGAGTTTGGAGGACTCTGGGGCCCTGTTGTCTTCAGGCCATAAAGATTATGTTGCAGTGCAGTTGCAGAATGGTGAGATCTGGGAGCTCTCAAGGTGTAGCAGGAGCAAGAGGGAGAACATATCAAGTTTGGACTATGAATACACTGGCAGTAAGAAAGAGTTTCCTTGTGTGGATGGCTACATATATGACCAGAACAAATGGAAAAGCACTGCAGTGACCCAATGGAACCTGGTCTGTGACCGAAAATGGCTTGCAATGCTGATCCAGCCCCTTTTTATGTTTGGAGTTCTACTGGGATCGGTGACTTTCGGCTACTTTTCTGACAGGTAAAATAAAATATTTAGGATTGTTGCATCAGTGTTGGTTTTATTTTCCTATCTGGTTTTCTTGGGAGACAGGGAATTATGTTTAAAACTTGTCATTTTTATACTTCCTGTCTAAATACCTACCTCTTTGCTGATCCAATATTTAGGGATGCATAATGATGAGGATAGGCTCTGAAGACAGTATACCTGAATCCAAATCCTGGTTCTACCACTTACTAGCTGTGGACCCTGGGCAAATTGCCTAACTTATCTGCATTTCAGAATCTTTGTCTATAAGCTGGTGATGAAAATAATATCACTTACCTCAAAAAGTTATTGCAAAATGAATACAGAAGAAAGTACCCTGGATATATAACCTCTCAATAGATACTATTTATTACTTAGAATATTTTCTTCTCTTGCTTTTTAAGAGGAGTAGCCTGATTCTAAGCAGTTAAACTGTAAAATTTTGGGCTTGCTATAACAGCCCCTTTTAGTCTTTCTGTCTGTGCTGCTGTAACAAAATATCACAGACAGGGTAATTTACAAACTAGAAAATTATTTCTCATGGTTCTGGGAGTTGGGAAGTCCAAGATCAAGGTGCCATCAGGATTGCTGTCTGGAAAAGCTGTTGTTTGCTTTCAAGATGGTGCCTTATTGCTGCATCCTCTGGAGGGGATAAATGCAGTGTCTTCACATGGAAGAAGGGATGAAAGGGCAAGAGATTGCCTTCAACCTCAAGCCCCTTTGCGAGGGTGCTAAGGGCTCTGCTGTCATGACTTTATCACCTCCCAAGGCCACCCTTCTTAATACTGCTGTTTCAACATGAATTTTGGAGGGAATACTATCATACAAAGCATAACATGGCCATACTTTTAAAAAACTTACATTAAAATGAATATATAATTCTTAAAATAAAGCAAAGTTGGTCTCTGTATGAACATGGACCACATCAAAGCACAGAGATGAACTTATTTGGTCTCGATAGTTGTGGATTTCACAGGCAGGTGGTGGGCACTGAGGACCTAAAGACAATAGCTTAGGTCGGAAATCCTTGCCCTTGAGGTATACTAGTCTAAAGGGGCTGATAAACATGTCAAAAGAAAAGTTACACAGCTTTGTCATGGACAGGGCCATATGTCTCCTAGTATGTTCAAAGGTGGTAGGTATTACTGTTTTCATTCAGCAAGCCATTATACAAATTATCACTTGAGGCTTTTCTATTGAAATGTGTTCACTGCTTGACTCTTGAAACTCAACATATTTGCAATTACATGTATGAAATGTACTAAAATACATTTGCTGTATGACAAAAGTGGAATATAAATAATGCTTATAACAAGGTCAGAGTACAAAATATGTTAACCGAAAATAAATTTAGTTCCATTGGCTGAACTTGGTATAGTTATATAGACATATATTGAACACTTACAGTCACTTTGATAAGTACAGTATATATAGATTATAATATATAAATAAATATATATTAGTGAAATTATATATATATTTCAGTGAAATATGTATCTATATTAGTGAAAGCAAGTTTATTAGGAAAGTAAAGTAATAAAGAATGGCTACTCCATAGGCAGAGCAGCCATGATGTATATTTTTTAAAGTCCTTGAGAAGTTGTAAACCATTAACTGGTATTCATTTGGCTATGTAGCTTGAATTAACATGACTTGGGAGTTCCAGAAAAATCTTAAGCTAAAAAATTGGTTTGACATGGTCTGTGAGTCCCAGTGTCTGTATTCTCACAGCAGAAATTGCTGAGACAGACAGCCTCTTTACACTTTTTTGTAGTCTTCTACACTTCTTGCTGGATGTGCCAAGATGGCAAGTCCCTGACCACTTTTTTATGTGGGCCATTTCTCAGAGTTGTCTATGCAGCCAGTACCTTAAAAGGTGAGTGCTATGGTTTACATATGATTTGTCTGTTCCCACCAAGGCTCATGTTGAAATTTGATCCCCAGTGTGGGGGTGTTGGGAGGTGAGGCCTAGCGGGAGTTGTTTGGGCTATGAGGGCGAATCACTCATGCATGATTTGGTGCTGTTCTCATGGCAGTGGGTGAACGAGTTCTTGCTGCCACAAGACTGGATTATTTCTCACAGGAATTTATTAGTTCCTGTAAGAATGGGTTGTTTTAAAGTGAGGATGCCCCTCAGTTTTCTCTCTCTTTACATGTGTCTGATTCACCTTTGACCTTCTCTGCCATGTTGTTATCAGCACAAGAGCCCTTGCAAGAAGCCAGTGCCCTTGAACTTCTCAGCCTGCAGAACTGTGAGCTAAATAAACCTCTTTTCTTTATAAATTATCCAGTCTCAGGTGTTCTTTTATAACCAAATAAACAATGTGGCTATAATAGATGAGATAACGTCCCTCTCTGCCACAAAGAGTAGGCTTCCTAACTGCCTGCTACAAAACCAGTGGATTCCCCACATCCGGTCTTCCTCCTCTCTAATTGAACCCACTATACACAAAGTGTCATCTGGGTTCATTGTGGGACCTGGGGATAAGAGGAACCATCACAAAGATGCTGCTGCCCTACTGCTTGCTAATGAAGTTCTTCATCTCTGACCCAACCATCTTGTGTTTTTGCCAGCATCACTTAAATAGTGCAGATTAATGTATAAACTTAGTGTAAAATAAAATTTAATACCCTTTGTTTACCCTCATGTTGGGTCCACATTAACATATTAGAGGACAAAAATCATATGATCAACTCAATACATATAGGAAAAGCATGTGATGAATTCCAAAATTCATTCATGATAAAAACTAAAAATAGAAGAATGCCTTTAACCTGATAAAAGGTTTCTACAGTAAGGTTTACTTTGAAAATTGTGATTTATGAGAGGATTCTCATAAATTATTTTCCAAGGGGAATAAATAGCTTAGTGAAAACCAAAACACATTATTAAAAGGCACCATGAGTGAGAATTAACAAAACAGTTGGCAGCAGAAGCAGACTTTTGCACAAAGACTTTAAATACTAGAATTACCAGGCACAAATAATAAAATAACCACACTTTCTATTTTTAAAGAAATAGAAGACAAGCTTGAAAATATTGATAAAAACTGGACATTGTATTAAAACTGACACAAAATTGACGAATACCTAGAATATGTAGAAATAAAAAGTGAAATAAGTGAATAACAAAGCTCCTGGATAGTTTTAATAACCTGCTATACACAGCTACAAAAAGAATTCATGAAATGGATGATAACTCAGAAAAAGTTATCAATATTAAAGCTCAGAGACATAAAGAGGCGGGATATATGAGAGCATAAAATTCGTGGAGACTGAAAAAGGAAAAGGTCTGAAATGTATTTAATATTAGAAACTAATCAATAGAATTTACCATATTAACATATTAGAAGACAAAATTCATACGATCAACTCAATACGTATATGAAAAGCATTTGTTGAATTTCAAAATCCACTCATGATGAAAACTAAAAATAGAAGAATGCCTTTAACCTGATAAAAGGTTCCTACAATAAGATTTGCCATAACTGTGACCTTTAAAATATTAATTCTCTTTCTTTCTTTCTGTTCTTTCTTTTTCTTTTCCTTCCTTCCTTCCTTCCCTCCCTCCCTCCCTCCCTTCCTTCCTTTCCTTCTTTCTTTTCTTTTATTTCTTCTTTTTTTAAAGAGACAGGGTCTTGCTATGTTGCCTAGGCTGGTCTTGAATTCCTCGGCTATGCAATTCTCGTGCCTTATCCCTCCCAAGTAGCTGGGATTACAGGCATGTACCACCATACCCAGCTCTTAATTGTGAAATGTTAAAAGCTTTCCTTTGAGATTAGGAACAGACAAGGATGTATGAAACATGTCTTCTACTTAGCATTGTACTGGAGAGTCTAGCCAGTGCTATAAGGAAAAAGAGAGAGAAAGAGGGAGAAGGAAAGGAAGCAAGAAAGCAATAATGCTTGGGAAGGAGGAATAAAAAGTCATTATTTGTAGTCATTACAATTCTGTATGAAAAAAGTCCTACATCTGATTTATTAGAATTAATAAGCATTTAAAATTATATTTCTATATACCAGTAACAAATATAAAATTTTAAAAAGTCATTGCAGAAACCTAAAAGTAGGAAATATAAATGAATAAATATTACAAAAAGCGAGTAAGGACTTCTGTGGAGAAAATTATAAACTTTAAGAATCAAATCATTAAAGTAAATAGATGTATTACTAGACAAACAGATTGAGGCTCCCTTAGAGGCTCCTGGAACAGACTTGTGCATTCATAAACATAAGTATAAAGTATTGTATATTAGCAAGGAAAGGATCAATCAGTAAGTGGTGCTGGACAGATATCTAGCCATATAGAAGGAAATATAATTGGATTAATATTCTCAGATTTTACAGTACAATAGCAGTTTCAGAAGGACTGAAAGTGCATATGTGAAAAGCAGAACTATGCAACTTTAGGAAGAGAATTTAGGAGGATATTTTCAGAACCTAATGGAAGAAAGGATGATTTTTAAAAAAACAAAAATCATTGACCATGAAAGAAAAGATGGATAAATTTGACTTCATTACAAGAATTTGTGTCCATCAAAAGATACCATTAAAAGAGGAAGGACATGAATGTGTGCACACAAGAGAAAGAAAATATTTGCTTTACCTATAACTAAATTATTAGTGTCCAGAATAATCAAAGAATTTTTACTTACATCAATGGGAAAAAGGCAACCCAACAGAAACATGGGAAAAAGATTTGAATTCACTTTATAGAAGAAAAAATCCAAATGGCTAATGAAAAGATGAACTGTCAGTGATATGTAATCACACCATTTATTTTTGACCTGTTGTCAAAGTCTTATAATACTAAGTGTTGGCAAGGATATGGAGTAATAGGATCTCTCATCCTGCTGGTGTGAATGCAAATTGAGATAACCTTGAAGACTGATTTGGTATCATATAGAGTTGGTGATGTGCACAGCCACATGTTCTGGGGCATATACCTTGAGCTCCTCTTGCACAGGTCCACAGAGGTACGTGGATAAAAGTGTTCCCAAGGCATTGTTCCTAACAGCCCTGCACTTTGAACAACTCCAGTGTCCTTCAATCATCTCATGGACACGTGTATTATAATATTTTCTTACAGTAGGATATGCTTCCATGAAAATGAATGAGCCACAGCTACGTGAAACCATATAGATAAATCTCCTAAACATAATGTTTGGTGAAAGAAGCAAGTCATAAAATAACACATGTGGTGTTATCCTGTTATAGAAAATTTAAAATGATATTGCAAAACTAACCTTTACTGTTTATGAACAGTCAACTGTATTGTTTAGCATTGTTTATAAAATGGTAAAATGAAACAAAAAACAAGGGGTTATCACCAAAATTAGAAAAATGTTTCCTCCTAGAAAGGGCAAGGGATTTGTAGTCATAAAGAGAGGTACAAGAAGCTAACAGGGGCCTGTCAATCATCTCTTTCTTGCCTTGGGTTGTGATTTCTAGGCGTTTGATTTTTATTATTCTTGAAGCTGTACATATTTTATGCATAGTTATATATGTATAAAATATTATAATAAGAAAAGCAAAGTAATAAGATCTGATCCCATACTTAAGGAGCTAACAGTGAATAAGATAGACTATTAAACAGATAATTTCAATGAAATGTGGTAATTTTTTTTTTTTTTTTTGAGAGGAAGTCTGGCTCTGTTGCCCAGGCTGGAGTGCAGTGATACAATCTTGGGTCACTGCAACCTCTGCCTCCCAGGTTCAAGTGATTCTCCTTCTTCAGCCTCCTGAGTAGCTGGGATTACAGGCATGTGCCACCATGCCTGGCTAATTTTTGCATTTTTAGTAGAGAAGGGCTTATACCATGTTGGCCAGACTAGTCTTGAACTCCTGACCTCAAGTGATCTGCCTGCCTTGGCCTCCCAAAGTGCTGGGATTACAGGCATGAACCACTGTGCCCAGCCAGTAAATGCTTTTAAAATAATAAAAAACTCACATTTATGGACAATTTACTTATACATTGGGTACTACTTTAAATGTCTTATATATCATCTCCTTTAATTATTTAAGGAAGTCTGTGAGGTAGACACTATTGCCCACCCCCGCCAACTTTTCTTTTAACCAGTAAGGAAAAGAAAGCATAGAAAGTTCACATGGAAAATAAGAGATGGAGCTGGGATGTGAGCCCAGGCCAGCATCTCCAACTACTGCATCACACTGTTTCTGAATTTCTGCTATGAGACGCCAAAGGATGATCAATGGAAGTTGTCAGATGGAGAAGGCCCCAAGGGAAAGGAAGAGCTTTGTGTCATGCAACAGCCTGGCATGTTTGGAGAATTGTGGGAAAGTCAGTGTGGCAGAAGTACAGAAGGGCAGATTGTTCAAGGAAATGACAAGAGACAAAACCACAATGGGGATTATTTTATTTTTAGGAAGTGTGCGAAGGTATACTGGTGTGAGGTTAGGAAGATCAGCTGGGGAGCTATTTGGATGAATGATGTAAGAAATGGTGAAGACTTGAGTGAAAGTGGGAAAAGCAGGGAGGAAAAGATGAAGACATATTTGGGTGGCATTTCTAAACTGACAAAATTTGATGACCAATATGCAGGAGGAAGTGGAGGAACGTATTAAGGTTTAGAAGCCCGATGGAAGGGGATTTTGCTAACCAATTCAGGAAATACTAGGAAGAGAGCAGCTTTAGAAGAGAGGGGAATACGTTTGAATATATCCCAATGAGCTTGTCCTATCCCTATACTAAGAAAAACAAAGGGAAGACGTATTCAAAGTTAATACCTTATAACAGCAATTAGAGATTGCAGCTCTGCAGGATATTGAAGTGGAGAAGAACAGCTGGGGCCAGACGGTGAGTGGGGAGTTCATAGCCCATACTTAGGAATCAGAGGCAGGGAAGTAGATGAAATCACAAGGGCAGTGTGTGCAGCAGAGGACTTTAGGGAGTGCCAGCATTGAGGCAGGTCGGTCATCAGGGAGGTACAATCAGAACCAGGAGACAGGGATGTTTTGCAAGCCAAGGGACAGCAGGAGCCTGATGAGTAGGCATGGTCAGTGGCACTAGGGAAGACAGGCAGAAAGGACCAGGAGAGGCAATGTGAAGGTCCCTGGTGACTGCAAAGTGAGCTCAGAAAAGCTGGTTGCACCTGGTCATCGCTGCCTGAGGAAACACGTAGGAGCTGAAGAAGGAGATACTCCCTTCTGATAAGTCTGTCAAGGGAGGAAACGCAAGGTGGCCAAAGGAGCAGTGGGGTCAAGAGAAGTTTCTTGTCTCTCGCTGGAGGAGACTAAAACTGAAAGGAAGAAGTCGAAGGAGAGGGAAAAAATAAAGGAAAAAGAAGTGATGGGTTTCAGAGGAGGTGGGAAGAGGCACAATCCAATACTAAGATTGCAAAATGGTATTTGGAGAGAAAGGGGCATGTGTCTTCAGAGAGGCAGGAGGAAGAGAAGGCTGAATGCAGATGCAGATCGTGTTGGTAAGTGGACAGAGCAGGAAGTTGTGGGGCTTCCTCTTTGATGGTCTTTGTTCTCTGCAGTAGATGGCTGCTCATCTACTGAGAGAGAAGACATTGGAGGTGGGAGAGAGGGTCAAGCAGTGATAGGTTAAAAACAGTTTTAGGTGGCATTCAGGGCTAAAATTAGATTGGGGAACATTCATGCATAGGGCCAGCAATCCCCACTACTGTGCAAAGGAGAAAAGAAGACTGAGATGTGAAGAAGATGACAGTCTCTTATTTATTTGAATATCCTCTGCTGCACCACGCAAACCTGCTGGTTGCCATTTCCAGACAATATTTTTTGCCTTAAACTATCTGAGACAAACTGTACGGAGAAATTATTTGCAAATTATATGTCTGATAAGGGTCTAGTATCCAGACTATATAAAGAAATCTTACAACTCAATATTTAAAAAGTAATATACTAATTCAAAAATGGGCAAAGAATTTGGATAGATATTTCTTTGCAGAATATATGCAAATAGCCAATACACACTTGAAAAGATGCTCAACATCATTAATCTTAGGGAATTGTAAATAAAAACCACAATCAGACACTGAGGTGGCTATAACAAAAAAAGGCAGACAATAACAAGTACTGGGGAGAATGTGGGGAAATTGGAATCCACATACATTGCTGGTGGGAATGGAAAAATGGACCAGCCATCTTAGAAACCAGTTTGGCAGTTCCTCAAAATGTTACACATAAAGTTACCACATGACCCAGGAATTTCACTACTTGGTGTATACCCAAGAGAACTGAAAACATAAGTTCACACAAAATCTTGTTTATGAATGTTTGGTGCAGCATTATTCATAGTAGCCAGGAAGAGGAAAATGACCCATCAATTGATGAATAGATAAAATTCGGAATATCCATAAAATGGTGCTACTCAGATATTAGAAAAGGAACGAAGGACTGACACACGGCACTATGCAGACGAACCTGAAAACATCACGCTAGGTAAGAGAAGCTGGACACAAAAGGCCACATACTGTTTGACTCTATTTATGGGAAATGTCCAGAAGAGGCAAATCTAGGGAGACAGAAGGTGGATGAGTGGTTGTCAGGAACTGGAGGGAGCAGGGAATGGGGAGTGGTGGCTCCTGGGTACAGATCTTCTTTTGGGACTGATGAGTATATCCTGGAATTAAAGAGTGATGATGGTGCACAATCTTGTGAATATACAAAAACCCACCAAATTGTCTACTTTAAAAGGTTGAATTTTATGGAATTTGAATTATATCACGATTTTTAAAATCTAGGTGAAACCCTGTCTCTACTAAAAATACAAAAATTAGCTGGGCTTGGCACACGCTTGTACTCCCAGCTATTTGGGAGGCTGAGGCGGAAGCATCGCTTGAACCCGAGAGGCGGAGGTTGCAGTGAGCCGAGACTGTGCCACTGTGCTCCAGCCTGGTGACAGAGCAAGACTCCGTCTCAGGAAAAAAAAAATAATAATAAATATTATTTGTTTTTCAGACAAAGAAATGCCTCTTTCAAATATGAAAAAATAGAGCAAATAAGCACATTATTCTAGAAGCAGAAAGTTAGCAAGACCTCTGTTTTTAAGGGGGCTTGGCAAGAGCTGTCATAACCTTGGTGAACAGAGCCAGCCTGGCAGGGAAGAGGCTCCAACAGAGAGCCAAAGTCTTGGAAGCGAGAGGACAGATTCTCCCCTTCTTCCCCCAGTCCCAGGTTAAGGGGTACTGAGGGAACGACTCAGAGTGATCAGGTATGGATATTAGCAGCTGAGGTAGATCCCCTCCACTGAACAGCTGGTCTTTTAAAGAAGCCATGGAACTTATGGTTTGCTCAAAATAAATAAAAGAAAAACAATCAATACGTAAGCTATTCAAGGTATATAGGTGTCACCTATCTTTCATGAATTGGAGTGGATGTTTGAACGGTTACCATGCTACCTTGCCTCTTCCAATGTGTGACTCTTGTGTTTCAGGCTAGGACGCCGGGTGGTCTTGTGGGCCACAAGCAGTGGCATGTTTTTGTTTGGAATAGCGGCGGCATTCGCAGCTGATTATTACACCTTCATGGCCGCACGCTTTTTTCTTGCCATGGTGAGTTGTTGTTTTTTTACTTGCTTAATTCTGCCTCAGTATTTCCATAGGAAACCTTAACTCTCTTCATTTTGCTCATTTAAGATCTAGTGAGTGAGATCGAGGACTAATCTTTGTCCATTCCACTGCAGAAGTCTGTCTACGGAATACCAATGCCTTATGTTTAGACTGGAACTCATTAAAATGAAAAATTGTTGCTGGCTAGGCAGAAACTTTGTGTTTGCCTCTGTGTCTGGCACGTGGCCCACATCTCACAATTACTAAGGCATTATTTTATTTCTGAGTAATTATATTGGTCTAGTCAGGGCCTGTTCACATGAGCAAACACACAGTTAAGGTCACTTGTATAATGTGCAGGAAGAATGAAAACAGGAAGGCATTAGGCCCTTATGTTAGCAGGAACGGGAGTGTAGTGGAAAGGGCATGAGTTTGAACACCAGCTCTGTCATATATTGGTTTGTTAGTTGTACGACCTTGAGCACACTCATTATCCTCTTTGAACCTTAGGTTGTACTCTGTAAACTGTAGAAAAGAATCCCTGTTTATTATTCTTCTTCTCAGGATTCAGTGAGATTAAGTGTAAACAACCCTAGTACCACCCCTGGTTATAATGTTGACCGTTACTAGAAATGGACCAGTGAGCAAGGAAGCTGTTTCCATGCTCAGTGAGGCTTCCAGACAGATTTCCAACTATCAAACAACAGCAGCAGTGATGATTTGCAATTGCAAATCACTGATCAAGAATAATAGCGGGAAGTTTGCCCCTGGGGGAAGCCCTTGTGATCTTGCTAATTGCAAAGCAGCAGCTTGGATGGTCTGAGGGTCCAGAGAGAAGCAAAGGACTTAAATCTCTCTGCAACCCCTCAGAGAACAAGATGGGGTGTCAGTTTTGGAGTCTTTATTAATGGATAGAAAGTGTTCCTAGCAAACCATACAGATGGCCAAGAATAAGGAAGATGCATAAAAATAAATCTAGGAGAATAGAAGGTGCTGTACGTCATCAAAAAGTAAACACATATCTTTGGGACTGTAGAGAGTTTTAAATACAAGATAGCAACCAGTAATTCTGCTTCCACTGAGGACATAACTCTGGGACTGTAGAGTGAGATTTCATGAGAGAGACCTTCTGGTGGGACTGAAGGTTCCACGGAGGCACAGATACTGAGAAAGTATAAAGGTCATCTTTTGGAAGACGTAAGAGGATATTTCTGCAAATATCTGTTTCAGTCTTGCAAAATACCCTGCTTTGGTTTCTAGAGCCAAGGAAACAAGACCACAAACGCATAGACATCTGTGAAATGTGGCCTCAATTTTCTGTGACTATTTCCTTTGATATTCATGGGAAATTGGTTTGCGGTCAAAGTCTGAGTATAGGAGATGCAGGCAGATTCATTTACTTAATGCATTTATTGATCTGACTACAGACTGTAATGCTAAGTAGACCCCACCCAGCTGTCTCAATAAGTCTAGTAGGAAAGGCAAGACGTTGATCAGCCATCTTCAAAAATAAATAAAATGTTGACAGTGAGGGCACAACAGCAGTGGGTCTGGAAGGTTCACCAGGGTCTGGAGGGTCAAGGACTTTTTCATTGTGAGGGATTGGTGAGAGAAGAAGATTTCAGCAAAGATAGAAGCAGATGAAAAGGCCCTGAGACGAGAAAGAATTAAAAATCAGAATGTCTGGAGAATAGAGAGGGGGACAGATGCACTGATGAAGCTGAAAGGGTCAAGGCGGTTAGGTGGTACCTTGTAGGATTGTCAGGATTTTGCTCTATCTCCTAAAGGCAATGGCAATCCACAGAGAGGGTTCCAGGGATTCTGGCTGCTATGAGGGGCTGGAGTCAGAGAAGATGTGAGGAGTAGAGTATTATCAGTGGTAGGGATGGGTGTGAGTGGAGTCACAGAGTGATTTGGAGTTAGATATTTGTATGTAACTTTTCTGAATCCAATGACAGAGGAAGGTGTAGCTGACACATGAGAAATAATCAGCACTGAAAAACCTGACAGGGACAAATATTACAGTTTAATTGAACTGGGAAATTTATAGTATTTGAAAGTTATCACAATCTTTATTTACTCTAACAGCAGCACTTACCAAAAGCGACTTCTGGATTCTTGGATATAGGGTCCTAGTGATCTGAGTCTTGCCATTACAAAGTTGCGCATGGAAATAAAAGCTGTTGTCACAAAAATGTTAAACTGATTCTGAATACAGTAGTTCTCATAATCAGCACCTCATTGAGCACCTCCCTGCCTTCTGCTAGTGTCAGCCTTTCTGACAGCAGGAAAATCCTTGTAGGTCAGCCTCTTTGTGACTTTCTGATGCAAGATGAAATTGCAGATATTATGAGGGATGCATGTTTACAAAAAGTCTTTAAAAGCAATGAGGGAACACTGCCTGAATCCTACCCACAACTCTGGCAGAGATAGACCTATTAACTTTTGAAGAAATTAACATCTGCAAGGATAATCACATGATGAGCCTTTGAAAGAGTATGATTCAAATATCTAATGACTATGAGAGGCCTTTGGGAAAATCAGTGGTGCTCTTGAATAATTTCACAAAAATTAACTTTATGATTTGTGTTGAAGTCAAATGTGAAATAATTTTGTAGGAAAAAATTTTAGCCCCTTCCTCCCAAGAAAACCATCACTGGACTCATTCCTTGTTTATTCCAAAAATGATCACATATATTCTAATCACATATTGTAATCTAATTTTAATTTAAGATAGACATATTTTCAAACTGAAGCTCTTGCCCAGTTTTCCTTATTGTGGTAAAGTACACATAACGCACAATTTACCATCTTAACCATTTTTAAGTGTACAGTTCAATGATACTAAGTGCATTCATATTGTTCAATTACCACCACCGTGCATCTTCAGAACTCTTTTCATCTTGCAAAACAGAAACTGTCCATTAAGTCATAATTCTCTATTCCCTGTCTCCCTAGCCCCTAACAACCACCATTCTACATTCTGCCTCTATGAGTTTGGCCACTCTGAGTACCTCATAAAAGTGGAATCATACGGCATTTGTCTTTTTGTGACCGATTTATTTCACTTAGCATAATACTCATTGTATGCATAGACTACATTTTGCTTATCTGTTCATCTGTGGACAGACACTTGGGGGTTGCTTCCATGCTTTAGCTATTGTGAATAATGCTATGAGCAAGTGTGGAGAAATATCTCTTCCAGGCCCCACTTTCAATCCCTTTGGGCATATACTCAAAGGTGGAATTGCTGGATCATGCCGTAATTGTTTTTTAAGGACTTGCCATATAGTTTTTCCTAGAGCCTGTATCATTATACATTCCAATCACACATTACACGTGGGTTCCAGTTTCTCTACATTCCCACTAAATCTTGTTAATTTTTTTTTTTTTAATTAGCCACCCTAATGGGTATGAAGTGATATCTCTTTGTAGCTTTGATTTGCGTTTCTCAATGATTGGTAAACATTTGTATTTCTTCTAAAAATGTCAATTCAAAGCCTTTTCCCATTTTTGAATTGGATTGTTTGTATTTTTGTTGTTATTGGCTTTTAGGAGTTCTCCATGAAATCCCTTATCAGATGTTTGATTTGCAAATATTTTACTCAGTTCTGTAGGTTGCCTTTTCACTCAGTTGATAGTGTTCTTTGATGCACAGAAGTTTTAATTTTCATGAAGTCTAAAATTTGTCTACTTTTTTGTCTGTCAAAACAAAATTTTAATTAAATCAGTTTTTCTTGCCACTAGTTAGTGTAAATTTTTTGTCTCCATTTAGCAATTAAAATTTAACAATAAGGACCTCCTAGATACAGATAACTTGATGTGCTCATTTAAAAGGAACTGAGAGATACATCGACACTATCATGGAATGTTTAGTTGAAACAAAAGGCAGTGTCTAACATTTATATTACAAATAATCTATCAAGTTTTGTTATTTGGGGTCAGGAGGATGAGGGAAGATGAAAGGACCTATAAGAAGAAAAACGATAGATTGGATTGAATGTCATTTTATGCATGTGATATGGGTTTCAGAAAGCAAATCTTTGTCATTTTCTTTTTTGCCAATATGTGATTTGCAGTGGGGTCAGACACCTCAATGGTTTTAAGTGTGACCTTAAATATAGATCCCTATTCTTTGTTTTTCAGGTTGCAAGTGGTTATCTCGTGGTGGGGTTTGTCTATGTGATGGAATTCATTGGCATGAAGTATCGGACTTGGGCGTCTGTCCATATGCATACCTTTTTTACAGTTGGAACCCTGCTGGTGGCTTTGACAGGCTACTTGGTCAGGACCTGGTGGCTTTACCAGATGGTCCTCTCCACAGTGACCGTCCCCTTTATTCTGTGCTGTTGGGTGCTCCCAGAGACGCCTTTTTGGCTTCTCTCAGCGGGACGATATGAAGAGGCACAAAAAATAGTTGACATCATAGCCAAGTGGAACAGGACAAGCTCCTGTAAACTGTCAGAACTTTTATCGCTGGACCTACAAGGTCCTGTCGGTAATAGCCCCACTGAAGTCCAGAAGCACAACCTATCATATCTGTTTTATAACTGGAGCATTGCTACAAGGACACTTACCGTTTGGCTAATCTGGTTCACGGGGAGTTTGGGATTCTACTCCTTCTCCTTGAATTCTATTAATTTAGGAGGCAATGAATACTTAAACCTCTTCCTCCTGGGTAAGTAGTTAAGTGTATTTAAATTTTGCAGTGAAGTGAGATTCCTACCATTTATGTGTGTTTCTGTGTGAATTTGAGAAAAAGAGTATGTTTTTAATAGGCCTTTTAAAACCAAGAGCAATACTGCCAACCATATTCTTATGATATCTCTTAGTGTTATGTTCTAACACCTGTACATATGAGGGGACTTCAACAAGTTCATGGAAAAATGGAATTAAAAGATAAAAATGTAAAATCCAAACTTTTTCAATGTGATTGCCTTCAAGGTCAAGATACTTTTGTAAGACAGCAGCCATTTAGTCCACCCCTAAAGAACTGAGGGTCCTGAGAATGCACCCATGTCCATGCAGTCTTATTTACACTATTAACTGAAGAAAAATGGGTGCCATGTGCAGATTTTTTAAGATTAGGAAACAAAAAGAAGTCAGAAGGAACCACCATGAGAACTGTAAGGTGGCTGCTTAGTGCTTTCCAGTTAAAACTCTTGCAAAATTGCCTTTGATGAGAGGAATGAGGGGGACCATTGTCATGGAGGAGAAGGACTCCCTGGTGATGTTTTCCCAGGCATTTTTCTACAAAAGCTTTGGCTAACTTTCTCAAAACACTCTCATCATAAGCAGATATTTACATTCTTTGACCTTCTAGAAAGTTAACAAGCAAAATGCCTTGAGCATCCCCAAACCACGTTGCCATGGCCTTTGCTCTTGACAGGTCCACTTTCGCTTTGACTGGACCACAGCCACCCCTCGGTAGCCACTGCTCTGGTTGAGCTTTGTCTTCAGGATCACAGTGGTAAAACCGTGTTTCATCTTCTGCTAAAGTTCTTACAAGAAATGCTTCAGGGCCTTGATCCCACTTGTTTAAAATTTCCCATGAAAGTTCTGCCCTTTGCAGCTGATCAGGGCACAACTGTTTTGGCACCCACTGAGTGGAAAGTTTGCTCAACTTTAATTTTTCAGTCAGAATTCTGTAAGCCAGACTAATTAAGGTGTCTATGGTGTTGGCTATTGCTTCTTCTATTAATCTCAGCCCTTGGCAATTAGGGCATCAACAAGATGGATTTTTTCCTTCGATGTGGTTCCTCTGCCACTGTGGGCTTCATCTTCAATATTGTCTTGTTCTTTCTTAAAATAGGTTAACCATTTCTAAACTGATGATTTATTTGGGGAATTGTGCCCATAAACTTTCATAGAGCATCAGTGATTTCACCATTCTTCCACCCAACCTTCACCAGAAATTTGATGTCTGTTCTTGCTTCAATTTTAGCAGAATCCATGTTGCTCTAGTGGGAACTCTTTTCAAACTGGTATCTTCTTCTTCTCAGTGCCTCAGACCAGCTCCTCTTCAGACATGTTCTAAGAAGTTAGTACAAGTTTCTTTTGGTGCAGAAAAAAATCTGAAAAAACAATGCATAGCTTTTTCATAATTTGCACTTTTCATGGAAAAAAAATTTTTTTTTGAGACAGAGTCTTGCTCTATCATGCAGGCTGGAGTGCAGTGGTGCTATCTCAGCTCACTGCAGCCTCTGCCTTCTGGGTTCAAGCAATTCTCCTGTCTCAGCCTTCCAAGTAGCTGGGATTACAGATGCACGCCACCATGCCTGGCTAATTTTTGTATTTCTGTAGAGACAGGGTTTCACCGTGTTGGCCAGGCTGGTCTCGAACTCTTAACCTCAGGTGATCTGCCCATCTTGGCCTCCCAAAGTACTGGGATTACAGGCATAAGCCACAGCACCCAGACATCCATGACCTTTTTGAAAACTCTTTGTATTTTTCCATTTGAAAAAAAAATGCGTCAGAAGAATTTAGTCACTCCATTTCTGGCTTCTCTCCTTGCTCACCTTCTTCGTGCCCCAGCCCAGAATTCTCCCCAGGGTTGACTTCTATAATGTTTGGCTTGTACCCTTTCAGATCAATTTTTATGCATTTGTGCCAGACATGGTGGCATGTGCCTATAGTCCCAGCTACTCGGGAGGCTGACGTAGGGGGATTGCTTGAGCTCAGGAGTTCTGGGCTGCAGTGCGCTATGCCAACTGGGTGTCTGCACTAACTTCAGCATCAATATGGTGACCTCCTGGGAGTGGGGGGCCACCAGGTTGCCTAAGGTGGGCTTAACTGGCCCAGGTCGAAAATGAAGCAGGCCAAAAGTCCCATGCTGATTAGATCTGTTTCTAACATTTCCATATACTTGTGCATATAAATGTTTTATATTTTAACACAAATGAGATCACTCACTATATATTGTTGTTTGTAAGTTGCTTCCCTTTTGAAATTTAATATGCCTTAGCTATCTGGCATCTCTCAACCTTTAGGTGTCCTTAATTTAGAAATTTTAGTTGGCAAAATAACTTTTAAATACATGCAACTATAATTTATGTTGTCATACTTCTTTCATTTCAATGGCAAGTTAGATCACTTTCAATAGCTTGAGATGTGACTCCTGATATAAACCAAATTTGAACTAAAACGTGAGAGAAATATTAGAAACCTCTTTTTATCCATCTAGTCTTAACTCCTGGTTATTTCCGCGTAGGCTGCCTGTATTTTTATATTATCCTCAAAACATCTTGCTTCTAAATTTTTATACATAGGTATTGTGCCTTCTCAAAAGCACTCTGATGACACATCTGGCTTTCTTTTTGATTTCCTCAGCAGACACATCTGTTTTGTTTATTATAGCTCAGCAGGAATGATGAGAGAAGTCGTTTTAAGAAAAAAAATTTATTCTTTTCTTTTTTTGAAGCAAACTAACAGGTTTATAGAAAGAGCCTGTCTTGACTTCAAACTCATTCTCTATGACAATCTGGGATGGTGCAGTATCCCTAGAACAGAGTGGCCAATGGTAGGTGGATCAGGTGGGGTGGAGTGTGGATGTGGAAGCGTAGGTAGGCTAGAAGTTTAGATCTTCATGACATAGTTTCTTACTTTTGCCAAAGATACAAATTCTCAAAAAACTGGACAATCTCATAAATATAAAAATGTTTACAGAGACAAACACACATGGTTTTATATTAGCCACTGTTTTGGATTTTTCATGTCAGTATCCTTCCCATTAGTATTCTTGCAGATGGCTGCTTCTGCTTAGTAATTCTATGCTGTGAAATTTTTGAATAAGTTTTTATCTCCGAAGATGATTTGGGGCTGGTGGGAATTTGAGCTCTGGTTTTGTGCCATTTGCAGGTGCCAGGTGGATTATGAGCATTAGAGCATTTCACAGGAAATGCTTATCCTCAATGCAGTGAGTTTAAAAATGGAGGGGCCCGCTGCCTCACAGCAATCCTTAGAGAGTTTCTAAAGGCCCCTAGAAGTGAGGAAAGGACTGCTCATGCCTTTTGGGTGGTGGGTTAGAAGGCAGGGTCCCCTTGTGCAGCCAGATGCCTAGCCTTATAGAGGGCTCAATGACAGGTGTCGTGGAACTTCCTGCCTACACTTTCGTGTGCATCGCCATGGACAAGGTCGGGAGGAGAACAGTCCTGGTTTTCGCCCTTTTCTGCAGTGCACTGGCCTGTGGTGTCATTATGGTGATCCCCCAGGTGAGTTATTGTATGTTTTATTTAGGGAATTGTTAGTTATACTGTGACAGTTTGATGGGAAGAATTTTAGCTTATTACAGTTAAGTATGAAGGTCAATTCAGAGTATGAATTGGACAGAGTATATAATGTTTAAAAATATGTTTTCTTTAAAAAATTCTTTTTCTGTTATGTAAGTAATATATGTTCATTGTAGAAAATTTAATAAGAAAAATGTTAAAAAAAAAAAAAAAAAAAGCCCGACCTGGGTACAGTGACTCACACTTATAATCCCAGCAAATCAAGAGGCTCAGGTGGGAGAATGGCTTGAGTTCAGGAGTTTAAGGCTACAGTGAGCTATGATAAAGCCATTGTACTCCAGCCTGGGTGACAGAGTGAGACTCCATCTCAACAAATAAAAAATTAAAAGTCTATAATCCAATTCCCAGAGATGACCAGTGTTGTATTTTGTAAATGCAATAATCTTGTGTGAGGAAAATCTATCACACCTTCCAGCATCGCCATCATATTGAACATTTACTCATTTATTAATTCGGCAAACATTTACTCACCATCTTTTATGTGCCAGGTGTAGGGAACACACAGCATCAGGTTTCTGTAAGTGTAACGAGTGGGCATAGGGCAGGTGTGTGTCCTCTTTTGTCTAGGATGGTCGAGGATGATGTGCCCCTCAGAGGAGGTGACATGTTATCAGAAACCTTAATGAAGGAGGCAGCCATGGAGACATCTGAAGGATATGAGTCAGGTATTCAGGACTCTTAGAGTTTCACTACTCTGTTTTTCATTGCAGGAGATAAGTAGTTTCCAGTGTCTGGTATGTATAAACACCCCGAGGAGCTTGTTTTTAAAAACGATTTCTTAGTGAGAAATGCTGCCCAGAAACTACTGAAATGGTTTTCATATTTCTATATTTTGGCAAACTGCATCCCCCCAAAATACCTTTTGCACCCCGAATTGCTTCCTCTCTGCCCCAAAAACATGTTATCAGACCTGTTTTTAAATTCTTGATTTGGAAAATGTCACTATAACAGTACATAAAATATTTTATTTAATGTTCTCCTGTGATTGTATAATCACTAAACAATAGTATATCAGCATTTAGAACAAAGCATTTTAAGTTTTGCATATGGTTTGAAATGTAATTTAAGCTAACGGGTGACTTCCTTTTAGAGTAGCACTTTACTTAATGATTAGGATTGATGAGCCAAATATTTTATGTAATTAAATTTCCAGGTGATTGATACACAACTCACAGTGCAATAAAACTAATCAGGCCATCCTAACAAGGACGTCTCTGCCAGTTTGAGGGAACTTCATCCACACCTTTTAAAAAGTAGTTTGCAGTTATGACAGTCGAGTAGTTGGCAGCTGCCTTTAGGTTGGTGAAGAGTTGGGGAACACCGGAACCTTTGAGTTTGTAGTAATGGGGAAGATGAGAAAGAGGCTGATGGAGATTTCTATAAATAGAGCACTAACCCACAACCACAGATTTCTCCCCTTCAATAAAATTTTCCCCAAATGATAATGCCAACACAATACAAATACTAATTTCATTAACAAATAATATCTACAATTGTAATTAAGGTGACATTAGCTGCTTTAATAGAGACATTCCAGAATCTCAGTGACTTAACATAAAGGATGTTTGTCACCTGCTCATAGAAAGTTCTATAGTTGGCCTGGTTGGCCAAAGCAGGAGTGGTGAGTGGGTGTTCGGGTCCATGGAGTCATTCAGGGACAAGGCTGACAGAGGCACTGCCTTCCTTAACACGTGAGCCCCAAGGCCACCCTGGGTCTCAGCATCCAGCTGGCAGGTGGGGGAGGAGGGAGATTTTGGAATATGGGGTGTCTTTGTTAGTTACCTCTGGAAGTGGAACACCTGAGGGAGAATAGAAACTGAGGTGGAGATAAAGGTTTTGCTGTTTGCAGCCACAAACAAACAAACAAACAGATAAAAAGTCTGTACTAATAATCCAGTTATCACTTTCAAATTATTTTCTGTAGAGACTTTATGAGCCAGGAATTACTGCCACAAAGGGTACAAGTTGTTGCTGTTGTTTTTAATAAAGAGATTAAATAGAGACAAGATCTCACTCTGTCACCCAAGCTGAAGTGCAGTGGTGTGATGATAGCTCTCTCTAATCTCAAACTCCTGGCTTCTCCAGTAGCTGGGACCACAGGCATATACCATCACACACAGCTAATTTTTTTGTTTTTGTTTTTGTAGAAATGGAGTCTTGCTCTGTTGCCCTGGCTGGTCTAAAACTCTTGGCCTCAAGTAATTATCCTACCTTAGCATCCTTAAGTGCTGGGATTACCATGTGTGAGCCATTGTGCCCAGCCCACAATTGTTTTTATGGCTCCTTAATTCATTCTGTTGGATCAGTTCCAGGAGGAGTGGGGAAATTCTTGGTGCCACCAGCACTGTCTGGGCGTGTCTCCTTCCAAAACAGTCTTCCCACCTGGCTTTTATCACAGTTCAAACCCTCCAAAGTGGACGGAGAGGAGAGGCATGCGAAAACTTTCCTCTACATTTTATAAAGATGGAAAGCTTTTACAGACTTTGAGTAGAGTTTAATATATTTAAACAGAAAAATATGGCTCTTCAGTGTTCTGAAAAAATACTGAAGGAATTAGAATGTTTTAAATAGTGATTTTAAAGATTTTCTATTTTCCTTTAAAAATATTACTTGTGATTATCTATTTTGCTAAATTATTTTCAGAAACATTATGTTTTGGGTGTGGCAACAGCTATGGTTGGAAAATTTGCCATCGGGGCAGCGTTTGGCCTCATTTATCTTTATACAGCTGAGCTGTATCCAACCATTGTAAGGTAAGGATGAATTGTTTTTCTGGTTGTTTTCCTGTTATCTTTTCACTTGGCCTTTACATGTAAGTGCTGGATTTTTTTCATAGAAGTTACCTGGATCTCTGAGATGGGAAAATGACATGCTGATGCTAATTCTGAGTCTGAGGCTTTGGACCTTATTAGCAAGGATATCAAACAAATTATTTTGAAATAAGACTCTGTTATTCCCAAAACATTTTAAGTTTCAGGTACCATAGACTTTCACTGAATATCTGTATTGACTCAAAGCTAATTTCTCAGGATGCTCTCAATGTTCTGATGCCAGTTGTGTTAGTCGGCTTGGGCTGTTGTAACACGGGCTGGGTAGCTTAAACAATAGAAATTTATTTTCTCACAGTTCTGGAGGCTGAAGTTCAAGAACAAGGTGTCGGCAGGTTTGGATTCTCCTGGGGCCTCTCTCTGTGGTCTTCAGGTGGCACCCTCTTGCTATGTCCTCTTGGGTCTTACCTCTGTGTGCACTGCTGGTGTCCCTCTCTCTTCTTATAAGACATCAGCCATATTGGATTAGGGCCTCACCCTAACAGCCTCGTTTTAACTTAATCACCTCTTTAAAGACCTTATCTAGAAATACCATTACGTCATAAAGTACTGGGGGTTGAGACTCTAACACTTGAACTTTGGAGGCACAACTCAGCCCATAACACCGGCAGTCATTGGCTCCCTGAGAAGATCACCATATCCGGAGGCTCTCAAAGCTGGCTGCTCATAAGAGTCATTGAGGGGCATTTCATAAAAAATATCAGTCTTGGGTCCTTACACCAGACTTGCTGGATCAATCCAAGAATGAGACTCGGGATTTTTTTTTTTTCTTTTTTTCGAGATGGAGTCTCACTTTGTCACCCAGGCTGGAGGTCAGTGGCATGATCTTGGCTCACTGCAACCTTGGCCTTCCAGGTTCAAGTGATTTTCCTGCCTCAGCCTTCTGAGTAGCTGGGATTACAGGTGTGCACCACCACGCCTGGCTAATTTTTGTATTTTTAGTAGAGATGGGGTGTCACCATGTTGATCAGGCTGGTCTCAAACTTCTGACCTTGTGATCCACCTGCCTCAGCCTCCCAAAGTGCTGGTATTACAGGTGTCAGCCACCATGCCCAACCAAGACTCGGGATTTTTAATAAGTCTGCAGGTGACTCTGAGTTGCTGCCCCCCATCTTTGAGAATGTCTGATGTGATTCCCACTGATTTGGGAACCTCAGGGATTTTCAAGCTTTTAAAAAGTTTTTCCAAACAAGTTTTACATGGAAACTCTTTATGAAGAGTTGAAGAGGACAGAGGTCCTTTGTGGAAGCTCTGCTGGGGAACCTGGAATCCCCCCAGTGCTCCTGCCTTCTTGCTCCAGGGTCCTGCAGCAGAACTTCAAGGCCTTAACAGAGCATTCTTTGTAAACCACAGTTCTTGCTGTAGCCCTCATGTCCACATAAGACAGCTGAGAGCAGGGAGATCAAGTACCTGGTGCAAGACGCACAGCTGGGTCCCCAGCTATAAAGGGAAGGCATCCTTTCTCTGATCCTCCATTGGACTTGTTTTTTTATTTTTTTGAGACAGTGTCTCACTCTGTCACCCAGGCTGGAGTACAGTGGCAAGATCTTGGCTCACTGCAACCTCTACTTCTTGAGTTCAAGTGATTCTCATGCCTCAGCCTCTTGAGGAGCTGGGATTATAGGCACACACCACCACGCCCAGCTGATTTTTGTATTTTTAGTAGAGACAGCGTTTCGCCATGTTGGCCAGACTGGTCTTGAACGCATGACCTCAAGTAATCTACCCGCCTTGGCCTCCCAAAGTCCTAGGATTATAGGTGTGAGCCACTGCACCCCGCCCATCAGACTTTTTGAGTCTTTCTTTGCAACATGATCTTGTATTTTAAAGTGTAAATAGTTAGGGTCACACTGCGGCCAAGAGACATTTGTCCCACAGATCTCCCTCTGAAGTTTCATAATAGTTTCCTATAGCAGTCCTCCCTTAAATTCTCCACGTGGCATTTTCCTAACACCTGCTTTATCAAATATGTTTTTATTTTATTTTTTTGAGACAGAGTCTTGTTCCTTCACCAGGTGCCAGGCTGGAGTGCAGTGGCACAATCTCGGCTCACTGCAACCTCTGCCTCCTGGGTTCAGGCAATTCTCCTGCCTCAGCCTCCTGAGTAGCTGGGACTACAGGCATGCGCCACCACGCCCAGCTAATTTTTTGTATTTTTAGTAGAAATGGGGTTTCACCATGTTGACCAGGATGGTCTCGATCTCTTGACCTTGTGATCCACCCGCCTCAGCCTCCCAAAGTGCTGGGATTACAGGCGTGGCACCCGGCCAAGTTTTTATTTTCTAAGGGAAAAAATTTGTTAGTGAGCTTGGACAATTTCTTAGCCTATTAAAGACCCAATCTTAATGACAACAAATGCACAAACAAGATATTAAGTTTTCTCACAGGAAACTTTTTCTAAAAATCTAACTGCTCAGCTAGTGGATTTATCCCTTTTAGGAGTATATTATTTGTCATGGGTTACAAGTTTGAAAGGCAAGTGACTTTCTGTAGAGATAAGCCCACATAATACCAGCCCAGAGGTGTCTCCTCCTTGTCTCCACAAGCAGGAGGGATATACGAATTGGAAAATCCATTAGTTAAGAGATAGCATAAATCTTTCCCTGGGAATTTTCCATGCCCACAGACCTGCCTGCTGAAATGTTAGGGCAGGCAGCCCTGTGGACCAGGATGGGTAAGTACATTTGTGTTGGCTGTAGACGGACGGATGGATGGATGAAAGAATGGATAGATAAAATAGGTACACATATATATCTAAGAAAAAGTTTATCAGACTAATATGTGACCATGGGTGTAGAAGAGCAGAGGAATAACTCCCTATGTAATTGTCTCTTAACCCAGTTGTCTGAGAGTAGAGTTTTTCTTCTTCCTTCCTACTTTCCCTCTAGGTCACCCAGAGTGCTCGGGGGAGCAGTCTAAAAATAAATACATCTTCTGTCCATTTTATAGGTTTTGGAACTGAGATTTAGACAAGATTAGGGTCAGAGCCAAAGGCACCTGGCGAGTCAGTGACCCATCAGAACTCAGATCCACATCTTTTGGCCCTTTCTGCACCCAGTGAAAGACACTAGAATTTTTATGGGAGACAGTGCTTAACATTAGCCAAGGATGGTTGCTAGCAGTAGAGCTTTAGTAGCAGAGAGGAAGAAGGTATTTTGGGGTAAGGGCTTTGTGAACTCTTCTCAGATCATATTGTAAACGTGGCAGGCAGAATAACAGATTACATTCTAGCACTTACGGGGTGACAATGATGGAGACTAGTTGAATGCAATAGAGTGAAGTTATGTAATCTCCAATTCATGTAGCTTTCGCTCCCTTGTGGCTGACCCAGGGAAGAAGCTGCTCTAAATCAGGGAGAATGTCTTTGGCATGTCCTGTGGGACCCTTCTGGCCTCTCAGGTGGATTTCTGCTCAGCCAGGAAAAGCTGCAGATTTTCCCAGTTCAGAATCCAGATTGGACCAGATCCATGCAGTGTCTGGCATGTATTAGACTCTTGACACACATGTGCTGAGTGAATGAGTGTCACGTACTAAAAAGGTGACAATCCAATCAAATAATGTCAATGTGCATTGCAATTTTTTTTTGTTGGGTTGGTTGTTGGTTTACAACCACAGGTACATGAGACCTCAAAAAAATCTAGTATATAAATATTTAATATAGGAAATCTTTAACCAACTCTGCACTCCCTAAACACCCTCACACTGCATGCAAAATTTTACTTATATATGATCTCTTTCTCAGAAGAATGCCATACTTTTTATCTGTTTTTTATAAATGTGTGTGACCCAGAAAAGATGAGCCACCATTAATTTAAAGAGGTACTTATTTGCATAAAAGAACAGTCTTTTTTTACTAACATTCTATACATTTTCTCTAAGTAACCTTTAAAGAAAAGCACATTAAGATATTTCTTGACTTGGCCGGGCGCGGTGACTCACACCTGTAATCCCAGCACTTTGGGAAGCCGAGGCAGGCGGATCACGAGGTCAAAAGATCGAGACCATCCTGGCCAACATGGTGAAACCCCATCTCTAGTAAAAAAAATACAAGAATTAGTGGGGCATGGTGGCTTGCACCTGTTCCAGCTACGCAGGAGGCTGAGGCAGGAGAATTGCTTGAACTCGGGAGGTGGAGGTTGCAGTGAGCCAAGATTGCCCCACTGCACTCCAGCCTGGTGCCTGGTGACAGAGCAAGATTCTATCTCAAAAAAAAAAAAAGGATATTTATTGACTCTAAAAAGTTGAAATAGAATAGTCTACAGGTATACAGATACTTCGTTCTCTCTCTACCTGAAACAAATTCCTTATTATTCCCACTCCCTACCTGAAACAAATTCCTTATTATTCTCAATATTAGTCTGGGCCAATACACATAAGGGCCTGATCTGCACAGCAGATGAAGGATGGCTTACCTCCACACCCCTACCTTTTTTTGTCTTTTTTTTTTTGAGATAGACTTCCACTCTTGTTACCCAGACTGAAGTGCAATGGCTTGATCTCGGGTCACTGTAACCTCTGCCTCTCGAGTTTGAGCGATTCTCCTGCCTCAGCCTCCCAAGTAGTTGGGATTATAGGCATGTACCACCACACCCAGCTAATTTTTGTGTTTTGGGTAGGAAAAGGGTTTTACCATGTTGGCCAGGTCCGCCCGCCTTGGCCTCCCAAAGTGCTGGGATTATAGGTGTCAGCCACCACACCTGGCCCCTTTTTATGTCTGGAATTGTCTTGAATTATGTGCGTGCTTGTATACACCACTGTTTCACACAATGTAGGTATTGTGATTCTTGAAAACTAAGTAACATTATTTTCAAGCTTACATTTTTTTACGGTCATGTGTTGCCTAATGATGGGCATATGTTTTGAGAAATGCATCCTTTGGTGATTGGTGGTTGTCAGAACATCACAGAGTGAACTTACACAAACGTAGATGGCCCAGCCTACTACCCAGGCTGTGTGGTACAGCGTGTTGCTTGCTCCTCAGCTGTGATCCTACGCACCATGTAACTGCATGAACACTGCAGGCAGTCATAACAATGGTAAGTATTTGTGCACCTACACATGTTGAAAGATAGAAAAAGTAGAGTAAAAATGTGCTATTATAATCTCACGGGACCATTGAGGTTGAGCGAAACGTTGTAATGCGGTGCCTGAACACCCTTATCCTTGCTGGGGAGGGTGGAAAAGGAGTTGCAGGAAGCAGGTCTGTCACTCCCCACGTCACTTGTGCCTTACTTATCTTGGTCTCTCTCCTCTGTTTCCAGGTCGCTGGCTGTGGGAAGCGGCAGCATGGTGTGCCGCCTGGCCAGCATCCTGGCACCATTCTCCGTGGACCTCAGGAGTATTTGGATCTTCATACCACAGGTTGGCTTCAGTTTGCAGACCCTTCCCAAGGTGGCAGGGAAGCACAGTTTCTAACTGCCTATTAGCGACTTCTCTACTGTTACTTATTGAAAGCCAGTTCAAAATTTCCTAATGGGGTTTGTAAAAACAACCCCATTATCCACAGCTCACCAGTTAATGAGTAGGGTGGTGAGTGCTGTGCGACTGGTCATTGGTGGCCATTCGCTGCTGAGCTGTGCATTACAACTCTGCCTGCCACAGACATGTGTCCTCACTCTTCCCTGGAAGCCAGGCCTGGGGAAGGGAGAGCTCTGGTCTCTGTCCTCCCCAGGGCATCTGTCCCTACCCTCTGGCCCCACCCTTGCCTCTGTGTTTCCACTGAATGCCTGCTGGGCAAGGCGAATTCTGGTGGCAGCCTGCTCTCAAAAGATTCTGTGGTGCCTAATGGAGAGCATTAGCAACCCATGGTTCTCAACTGACCTGAACCCGAGGGTCTCCTTGTGGGCAAGGCTTCTGGCTCCAGCAGTGTGACCTATTTGCCTGGTTTCAAAGAGTAAGTACAGGAACACTTAGTTTGCAGATCCTCAGGTAGGGGCTGAGAGGCTGGGAAGACACGCAAGCACTGTTGCACCTGGCTTTAGCGGACTCTTCTACTCAGGAAGAAGATGCTGGACGGGTGGAGAGCAGGGATGACTTCCGGGCCCACAGCCCCTCCCCCTCCCTCTCCTCCAGTGCCTCCTTTCTTTTTTCTGATTGCGCTTTTGATAGACTCAGGTTGCAGGATTTCCTCCTGGCCTCCTCCCGGCCCCCTGAATGCATGACCTCTCCTCCTGGCTGCAGGCACGTGTTTCCTCCAGCCTCATGGGCATTCTCCCTGGATGTCTTACAACAAACTCAATGTCTCCCCACAAACTCAATGTCTCCCAAGCAGAACTGACCAGTGACATCTGTCTCCCATTTCTAGTTAAGGATAAGTCAGTGGCCTCAAGCATGACATGGTGGCATTGGCTTCTCATTGATCCTGTTCTTTCTCCTACCCTTCTAACCCATTCATCACTGAATCCTCACATTCTCTTTCAAAACTGTGCCTGCAGCCTGCCTCCAGTGACTCCCCATCTTCTCCCTGTAGAAAGTAAAAAGTTCCAGCTGGGTGCAGTGGCTCACGCCTATAATCCCAGCACTTTGGGAGGCCGAGGCGGGTGGATCATGAGGTCAGGAGTTTGAGACCAGCCTGACCAACATGGTGAAACCCTGTCTCTACTAAAATTACAAAAATTAGCCAAGCATGGTGGTGCACACCTGCAGTCCCAGCTACTCAGGAGGCTGAGGTAGGAGAATCCCTTGAACCTGGGTGGTGGAGGTTGCAGTGAGCTGAAATTGTGCCACTGTACTCCAGCCTGAGCAACAGAGTGAGATTCTGTCTCCAAAAAAAAAAGGAAAGAAAGTTAAAAGTTCCTCTTCAAAATTTCTCTTCTTGTTAAAGAATAATAATGAATGCTGGAAATAATTGTTTGTTTTAAAGACTAACTTTCTTCAAAGCCTTCTTGCTTTTGCTAATAACTCTTTGTTAAGTCCTATCCTAAGTAGCTGTTAGACATGCTCATAAGCACTTCGTACATTCTATGTCCTTGTACTTTAACCAAGATATCTGTGCTGGACGGGCTGGCAGGCATGTCCCAGCTCTTGGCCTATTTCCCTTCCTCATTTAGACTTCCTCTTTTCCTTTGTTCTCTATTGCCTTTACCTACTGAGAAAAGTTTTAAGTTGTTAGCCTATCAAGTTCAGCTTAAATTGTGAAGTCTAGCTCCAACCAACAGAGATCAGACACAGCAGTAAAGACCCGATGCATGAGGAATAAATATGCCTGCCTTTCCTTTGTTCATTGCATTCTCACAGCACGATAGTTAACCAGAGTACCCTTTCTGCAGTAAGTAAAATTGCCTTGCTAAGAAAACATTTTGGCTGAATGCTAATTTTTCCTTGCAGTACCTAAGAACAAGCATCTGTCTCTAACAATCCCCACCTCATCAGGGTAGCATAGATGGCACTACGGCCATGACTTAGTGCCCCAGTCAGCTTCAGAATAAAGATCCAAACTCAGTTGATACCCAGGGCCTTTCCCGATTGACCCCCCTGCCCATCTTCCCTATTCTGTTCCTCATGCAGCTTCCCCTCCTCTCCACACGCAGCCACCATGCTTAGCCCCTGTTTTTGTCTTGAACTGTCTTGAATTATGTGTGTGCTTCCCATCTCCTCCCTGTCCTCACCCCACCTCCTCCCCTTCCATGCCACTGCCCCAGTGGCCCCTCCAAAGAGAAAGCTCCTCTCTCATGTATCTGTTAAGTAGCCTTCCAGGTATCCTCTTTCCAGGAGGCCACCCAGATCCAGTGACCCCGCCTCTCCTTTTCTCAAGCATGTCTGTACAGCATTTATCGGGTGCCGCTTTCCAGTCCATTCGCAGCGTGGTTTTATCATTTGCACGTGTGTCTTTGTCACCTCAGTCAGGCTGCTGTGCTTTGCAGAGCAGGGCATTTTGCATCCCCACAGCTAGGGCCAGCAAAGTGTTTCCCTCAGCTTGTGTGCCACCCATGCTATCATTCACCTACTATTTTAAAATCAAATAGATTGCCTTTTGGAAATTAGCTTTGTCCTAAACAATAACATCAGTGCGATCATGGGTGTTATACTAGTTATGTGTTTTTCTAAGACATGCTAGCATAATCTAGCAAGTGATAAAACAGTGCTTGGTACCCCATGGAGTCTCCTTGTACACACAGCGGGTACCCATACTGCTCTTCAGGAACTGCTGGCTTGGCATGAGTGTCTCCTGTGTCCCAGGAGCAGGCGCTCAGTAAAGTGCTTGGATGTGTCATTGGGGTGTTAGATCCCAGCCTCTATCTCAGGCTGACTCAGGTTAAGAAACCATATGGGCTATGTGGGAGGTGTTTTTGGGGAGTCTATCACCCTTTTTAGGTCATGGACTTTTCCAGAAGCATCTCCTTTGTGCTAGCACTTATTTTCCTTATTTTGTTTTAAGAAAAGATAAAATGGAAAAGTGTTTATTAAAACAAGTTGAAACATACAAAAATGAAATAGATAAATTTATAAAAGCAAATTACTATAAACAGACTAAAACCAAATAAAGATTTTTTAAATGGATACCTGTAAGGCTCAATTAAGGACTATAGACTTAAAAGGGATCTCTAATTTTATTTAACAGATATTTAAACAAGCTCTTTTTATTTTTATTGTTTCTCTGAGACAGAGTCTCACTCTGTCAACCAGGCTAGAGTACAGTGGTCTGATCCCAGCTCACTGCAACCTCCACCTCCTGGGTCCAAGTGATTCTCCTGCCTTAGCCTCCCAATTAGCTGAGACTACAGGCATGCACCACCAAGCCTGGCTAATTTTTTTTTTTTTTAATTTTTTAGTAGAGTTGGGGTTTCACTATGTTGGCCAGACTGGTCTTGTACTCCTGACCTCAGGTGGTCCGCCCACCTCAGCCTCCCAAAGTGCTGGGATTACAGGCATGAAACACCACGCCCTGCCTAAACAAGCTATTTTTAAAGTGCTTTATAAAAATTAGTCTTAATATAATGCAGTGTGTTATATTATGCACTTAATATAATGCATATATTAAGTCTTAATATAATGCAGATACTGTTGTTCTCATTTTACAGATGAGGAGACTAATGGACAGAAAATAGTCATTAGCCCAGGGTCACACACCTTAAAGGTGGCAGAGCTGGGATTTGAGAAGTGAAAACTCTGTCTGATCTGAAAGATGTTTATATTTTCTTTTCTGAAAAGAGGCACATAAAAAATCACTCATTCTGCTGCCATTATTTTCTACATAGTCTAAAAAGATGGACACATAATTAACTTTTTGTGTGTTCATTAACTTATTTGGCAAACACTGACAGAGTGTTGATTTTGAACTAGCCACCCTGCTAGGTGCCAAGGAGCAGAGATGAAAGAAACAGACTGTCTTGAGAGACGTCCAGTCTGGTGGAAAGGGCAGGAGAGCAAACCTTCACCAGACCCGGAGAGAAGGGCTGGGGTGGGGAAATGCCAGGTGTGGTGATTTAAAAGATATAACAGCAGTAATCACTAAACATTAAGAAACATCTTGTTTTTCAATACGTAATGGCAGTAATGAGAGCTCACATGTATTGGCTGCTTACCTCGGCCAGGCACTGTTCCAGGTGCCTTTTGTGTAATATTTAATTCCATCCTCTCAACAGTACTTTGTGACAGATACTACTCTTTCATCTATTTTACAGAAAAGGAAACTGAAGAGCAGAGAGGTTAAGTAACTCGTCCAAGGCCACACAGGTAGCAGGTGGCAAATACCCAGGCAACGTGGGTATGGAGATTATAAAAGGGTCAGGAACATGTCTTTTTCTTTTCTTTTTTTTGAAACTGGGTCTCATTCTGTCACTGAGATTGGAGTGCAGTGGGGCGATCTCGGCTCATTGCAACCTCTGCCTCCTGGGCTCAAGCGATTCTTCCACCTCAGCCTCCCAAGTAGCTGGGACCACAGGCATGTGCCACACACACTTGGCTAATTTTTATATTTTTCATAGAGACAGAGTTTCACCATATTGCCCAGGCCGGTCTCAAACTCCTGATGTCAAGTGATCCACCAGCCTTAGCCTCGCAAAGTGCTGGCATTACAAGTGTGAGCCACCTCACCCAACCTTTGAGAACCTTTTCTTTTTTTTTTGAGATGGAGTTTTGTTCTTGTTGCCTAGGCTGGAGTGCAGTGGCACAATCTTGGCTCACCACAACCCCTTCCTCCTGGGTTCAAGAGATCCTCGTGTCTCAGCCTCCCAAGTAGCTGGGATTACAGGCATGTGCCACCATGTCTAGATAATTTTGTAATTTTAGTAGAGACGGAGTTTCACTATGTTGGCCAGGCTGGTCTTGAACTCCTGACCTCAGGTGATCCACCTGCCTTAGCCTCCCAAAGTGCTGGGATTATGGGTGTGAGCCACCATGTCCGGCCCTTTGATAGCTTTTCTTTTTGCTGAGGGAAAATAATTGGCAGAAAGGAAAAGGTCAAAAACGTGTGAGAAGGAGGTTGGACCATTGATGGAGGGAGATATCTGAGGAGGAGGTGAGAGGAGATGGAAAGCATAGAAGGATCCACCTGACCAGGAGGAGGGAAGGGTGGGGAAGTGGGGGCTTGTTTCAATGTTTGGTTTGAGGTTTATGGGATTGTGGGGAGCTGGCCAGGGGAGCAGGAGTAAGGAGGAGATGGAGATGTATGATTTGTTTACTGCCTATTTTTACTACAAAGCTAAGAAGAAAAATTCCATTCTGTTCTGGATCTTCCATTTGATTCTATTTCTTTTAGACTTACTCAGTGTTTTTCAGACCCTGACATAGGGCCCTCCTGGGGTTTCTAGATCACTGGATGTACTTGCCACGTCTTGAGAGATCAGAAAATGCCTTAAAATCCCTTTAGAATGTCACTTGAAATTCTGCTACTGCTGCCAGGTTAAGCTTACTCATATATTTCTTAGAATTAGGTTATCAGTGCTCTGCAAAACAAAATAAAAAACTGCCTTCCCAGTTCTCATCTGTTATGGATGTGGTCTGGCATCACTTCACACTTGCTCTATGTATTTTATGATTCTCATTCTCAGAGGCTATAAACATACCAAGTGTGAAGATTTATCAGAAAAGCCATACCTTAATTTATTCTTATAGGGTCTTTCTAGCAAATATATTTTGCTAAAGGAGTTTAAATTAAGTAAGGATGGATTATGTTTTTACAGACTGTATAGAGATTTAGTTCTGTTAATAAAAGCCACCTAGCATCTTCATAATGATAAACAGAGAATAGATATGCAGACTTTAATTTTTAATGTGACCTACATTTTTAAAAGCAAATGCCTTGGCGTTAGTCTAAAAGGTTGCCTTTTATGTGTCAAAATCTGGAAAACAAAGAAATCATACCTAACTATATAGGAAATCACATGGATCCCTCCCCCATAAAGTAACCGTTTGTTTTCACTACCTTAGCTTCCCCCGAATTCTGGTTTATTGAAACCTGTATTCATTCATTCATTCCCTATCATTTCCTGAACTCTAATAGTGTACTGATTATTGGGGCAGGGACAGGCTTTACTAAGATGGTCCCTGCTTGGTGTGTCCTAGCCCAGGGCTCGGTTGCTTGTTTCCTCCACAAGACTCTGGGGTCTGGAAAGATGGGGCAAGGGTCTTTTTCCTTTGAGACCACAGCTTCTAGGACAGCACCTCCAGGAGTAATAATGCAGGCAGCAGCTGGCAATTGAGTAGGCGCTCCACAGTGGATCATGAATGAATTAATGAATGAGTGATGAGATTAAGTCTCATTGATGAGGAAAAGAACTCGAAGTCCAGCACAAGTAACCAAAGGTCTCACTGAGTAATCACAATGACAATTGTTATGTCAAACTCAATTTCGTTACCCTCTGAAAACAGTTAGGAAATTATATTATTTGATGGACGCGTTTCTTGATGTGTCACTTATCATTATTTTTAATTTCTTCCAGGTGTTTGTTGGGACTATGGCCTTCCTCAGTGGAGTGTTAACACTGAAGCTTCCAGAAACCCTTGGGAAGCAGCTGGCATCTACTTGGGAGGAGGCTGCAAAACTGGAGTCAGAGAATGAAAGAAATTCAAGCAAATTACTTCCCACAACTGATAATATTGGGCTGGAAAAAACAGAAGCGATTACCCCCACGGATTCTGGTCTTGGTGAATAAATGTGCTGTGCGTGCTGTCTATCACCTAAAATGTTATTTACCTTAATGCTTTTGTATTCGAGGAACCTTATTCTCATCTCCCACATGTTGTTTGTATGTCTTTTTAATACATTTTGTAAGAAAGTTTTAAAGCAAATGTGTTATAAAATAAATAAAAACTAAGATGAAAATTCTCATTTATAAAAACTGCTTTCTTATTGCTGCAAAGTATTTTTCCACATTTGTTCTTCTATGTTGCTGATTCTCAACCTTTCCCCACCACCACCCAACCACGCATGCCAGAGGGGGTTTACCTATTTCTATCCTCACCAGAGCTGCCCGTCAAGGCTTCCGAAAAGAAGGGGGCATGTGAGAGTATGTTTCTCTCGACAAACCTTCTTGCAGATTCTATTTCTGATATTTTTTCCCCCTTATGAGAATCATAGCTCTAAATACAAGTCTCATTCAGAAATGCCCTGTCAAAAAATGCCCGTCTTCACAATTAAACCTTAAAAAATCAGAGCTACAAAAATGGTTTTGCTTTCCAGAACCTTGAGGCAAGAAGGCTTGATGTACAGACAATTGTGCTTGTGTTTGGTCCAGATGAGGGACACACACCTGCTGGGGTCCGAGAGAGCTTTCTAGTCTGGCATTCTCATTTTTCCCAAATTTACCAAATTCTCCCTGTAAGTTTCCTTCACAGCCCAGAGAGGCTGTGACATTTTAGTGCATTGCAGACTTTTTCAGTTTGCAGATCATCCAGGAAACTGACTTTAAGTACCATCTGGATTTGTGGCCAATGTAAAAACGTTTGTAAGTAATCTTGCCTTTTAAAAAATTACATGAAGATTTTACTCTTTTTTAGTATACATTTTTTCTCAACCATACTTAAAACCATAGTCTTCCAAAAACATTAATATTCTGGACATTTCAACTGCAAATTACCTCCTCATTTATCTGTGGAAGAATGCATTTCAGATTTACAGTCAGTTTCCCATAGGTTTTGGGTTTTTCTTTACTGTGGTTTCATCATAAGTTTATTATTTTTTTCTTTACTGTGGTTTCATCATAAGTTCATTATTTTTTTCTTTGCTCTTGAGATTTTGCTGTTGGGTATGTCTTACATCCTGCATTTGAATTGGTGAAATATTAGCGTTATCTGCAGAGGCAAGTAGAAGACAGTTATATAGATGTGCGTTTACAAAGCATTGCCAAGGGGGAAAAAAAGGAGGAATTTAACCTGAATTTGACCTAAACTTTGTCTATGAGTTTAGTTCTCTGGGTAATTGCTTAGTTCTTCACTTGGACTTTCCATTAACAAACTAAAAATAAAGCCAACATTTTTTTCTCCCTTTACAAAAGAAAATAAAATATATGGGAATTTAAGGAAAAAAAGGAAGAAGACATTTCTTGAACCTTTCTCTCATTTCTTATTTTATCTCTTTTTTCTTTTTCTTCAGCATGTTTTTCTACTTCCATCATAATTTTTCATCTTAGTTAACATTTCATTCATTTTTTCTTTTTTTGAGACAAGGTCTGGCTCTGGCACCCAGGCTGGAATGCAGTGGGCTCACTGCAATTTCTGCCTCTTGGGCTCAAGTGATCCTCCCATCTCAGGATTGCAGGTGTCCGCCATCATACCCAGCTAATTTTGGTATTTTTCATAGGATTTGTATTTTTTGACAGGATTTCACCATGTCGTCCAGGCTAGTCTCAAACTCCTGAGCTCATGCAATCCACCCGTCTTGGCCTCCCAAAGTGCTGGGATTGCAGTGTGAGCCACCACGCCCGGCAATACTTTCTTGACTTTACTTTTATATTCTGTTCATTTGCTAAGGTGATCATAGCAGAATACCACAGACTGAGTGGCTTAAACAAGAGAAATTATTTCCTCAGAGTTCTGGAGGCTGGAAGTTCCAGGTCACGGTGCCAGCACAGTTGGTTTTCTGATGCCTCTCTGGCTAACAGCTGGTTGCCCTCTTGCTGTTATCCCCTTATGCATACATACCCCTGGCTGGTGTCTTTCCCTCTTCTCCTTTTGTGCATACATACCCCTGGCTGGTATCTTTCCCTCTTCTCCCCTTGTGCATACATATCCCTGGCTGATATCTTTCCCTCTTCTCCCCTTGTGCATACATACCCCTGGCTGGTATCTTTCCCTCTTCTCCCCTTGTGCATACATATCCCTGGCTGATATCTTTCCCTCTTCTCCCCTTGTGCATACATACCCCTGGCTGGTATCTTTCCCTCTTCTCCCCTTGTGCATACATATCCCTGGCTGGTATCTTTCCCTCTCCTTTTATGGCCAGCAGTCATATGGGATTAGGGTTCCACTCCGATGACCTCATTTTAACTTAATCACCATTTGAAGGCCTCATCTCCATATATGGTTGCATTCTAAGGGTTGGGATTTCAACATATGAATGTCAAGGCATTTCTTTACATTTTTATTGCCCACTGTCTTTGTCAACTTGGGCTTCTACTCAAAAAATACCACAAACTGGGCAGCTTGAACAACAGAAATGTATTTCTTACAGTTCTGGAGGCTGGGAAGTCCTAAGGTGCCAGGAAGGTAAGTTTCATTCTGAGGCTTTTTCTCTTGACTTGTAGGTGGCTGACATCTCACTATGTGCTAACAGGACCATGTCTTTGTGTGCACAGGTGTGGAGAGAGAGCAAGCTCTCTTGTGTCTCTCATCATAAGGGCCCGAATCCCATTAAGGACCCCACCCTCAGACCCTTGTCTAACCCTAATTACCTCCCCAAAGCCCCATCTTCCAATACCATCACATTGATGGGGGTAGGGCTTCCACATATGAATTTTCAGGGGACACATTCAGATCATGACATCTACATATGTATCACTGTATCAATGTCTAATCAGGAAAACAGAAACCACTGGAGATAATTCAAACAGAGAGGATTTTCATGCACAGTTAGTTATGAAAGTGTAGGAAAAACAAAATGGAGAAGTTACCTAGCGATCAGGAAGCCACTACTAACATGGCTGGGTTGGGAGCCTGCAAGCCTACACTTTCTGCTGTCACTGCTCAGGCTGAAACTACATTTCTGCTGCTGACCAGAAACCTAGGAGCCCATATCCCCACTGATTCTACCTAAACGGCCTATGTTTTCAACTGGAATGAGTTGAATTTTCAGACTAAGTTAGGGGAAATTCACTCTTTTTTCTGGTGTTGACTCTTCTACCCATTATCCTGGGTTATCTCTCCATTTACTTGGGTCATCGTTGATATCTTTTACTAAAGTATAATTTTCTCCATAAAGGTTGTATACATTTTTGTTATATTCTTATATATAAATTTCCATTATAATTAGAAATGAGAACTTTCTAATAATTTTATCTTCTGGCTGTATATTGCTGGCATAAAAGAAAGTGATTGATTTTATATGTTGATTTTGTATCCATAAACCTTGATTAAAGTATTTTAATTCAAAAGGAAAAAAAAATTCTTTATTGGGGCTGGGTGCAGTGGCTTATCCCTATAATTCCAGCACTTTGGGAGGCTGAGGCAGGTGGATCATCTGAGGCCAGGAGTTCAAGACCAGCCTGGCCAAACATGGTGAAATCCCATCTCTACTAAAAATACAAAAAAATTAGCCAGGCGTGGTAGTGTGCACCTATAATCCCAGATACTCAGGAGACTGAGGTAGGAGAATTGCTTGAACCTGGGAGGTGGAGGTTTCAGTGAGCCAAGATTGCACCATTGCACTCCAGCCTGGGCAACTCTGTCTATAAAAAAAAAAAAAAAAAGTTTTTTTTTTCTTAATGGGAAGAAAAATTAGGCTTTTTGTTGTAAAAATTTACAAATGTTTATCATGCAGGAAGTCAAACATACTTTGTTCCTTCAGCATTTCTTAATATGTGTAGCCTTCTGATTTTATACTTGGAAAATGGTGTTGTTTTGCATAGATATATATCTATGATCGTTGGAACCTAGTCATAACGCATCCAATCTGTCTCTGATTGCAAATATTTCAAGGAGTACTTTGCCATAGCATTGGAGTGATCAGAGAACAAACACGTACAAGTAAACTTCGGAGAGGTGACCTTGTGTCTCAGTTCTGTGTAACCGAGGTTCACGCACTAACTTGACTTTGACAGGTCACAAAGTGTGAGGGGCAATAGAAGCCTGAAAATAAAAAAGCCCTGGCTATAAGCCTTCCCACTTAAGCAAACCAATCTCTCTTTACCTCAATCTTCTCATTTGGAAATTCAGGATTATAATACAATGTCCCTCTGGAAAGGGGAATATTAAAAGAAATAATATAGTGAAGTCATTTAATGCCTCTCTGCACAGCCCCAATATTTTATCAGCCTATTTCTCTGTATGCGACTTCACCCTCGTTGGGTGTCCTGCCCAGTCTTGGCCTTGGCCCGTGGGCACGGGGGCCCCTCCTGTCAGGACCCCACATGCTGTCACTGTTCGACTGTGCCTACTGCATGCTATTGTCCTCCCTTGTGGACTCTGCAGTTTAGCTACCTGGAGGTACTTCTGCGGTCTCTGTTGTGCCCTGATGGTTAGTTTCGGTCCATGATAGCTGCAGGGAAGACTCACTGTGAAACTAATGATGCATAAACTTCAGGCTCCTTGAATTGCACAGGCTCCTGTGATGGAGTTTAATAATGGGTCCATTTGGACATACGCTTTCGTAAAATTTTGTAAATTTGCAAAAGTAAGATCTATTCACTACAATCAGCTGTGACCACTGTCTTTTTCCACTTGGTTTTCTATCACATTCTCCCTCTGTCATATGGCATCAAAGTGGTCACAGGCATTCTTTTCTTTCATGATTTTGTATTTTTTTCCTCTAAAGAGGGCTCTTGAAACTGTATAAATTTCAAGACCCCACAAAAGCTGAATCTGTCCCCTGAATCACTGTTAGAAGATGTGTTGTCAGAGAGGTTCATACTCAAAATATGCTCTGAATGTATTCAATTGAATGCTCTGTTCTGAGGGGCACACCTGTGCGCTTTCTCTCCTGTCAAATATGTGTTGAAAACATACTAAAGGCAAAAAGGTGTAGGCAAAGGGGCACTTAATAAATTCTTGTGCATGGTGAAGAGGAGTATTTTCTTATCGAAGCTGATAAAGCTGACTATGGCAGCCAACATCTTTGGCAACTTCCCCCAAGAGAATGTCTGGAAGTTTGGATGTTTGCTGTTTTACCTGAATTTGCCAGAAGTCACTGATGGTGCTGTTTTTATGTCTGAAGTCTTCAGTGCACCAACATTTCACTGGTAACTGCTCACTCTAAATAAATTAAATTTTTTAAATTCCTGGCCTCTCTCTGGGCTCACCCATGCCAGCTGGGTCAGCCATTCTGCTGAAATTGCGGCTCTGAAGAACACCTTAAGCAATTCTTCGGAAAAAGATCCACTGTCAGAGATTTTATCTGCAGGAACAAGACCTCGGGGGAGCAGGTGGTCAGCATGCTACTTGATTCTTGATTAGTTAACAGTTTCAGGGAGGCGGATCAAAAAGTGCACCAACCCACCCTGGCCAATGTCTAACTATAATTCTCCCTAAAGCCTGGCTTATAATCTCATTAACCCTGTGAGGGCAATTTCACTGTCCTTCTTCCCTGCCCCAAATTGCTGTACACATGGGAATCCCTGGCCCCCGAGCCTGGTATCTTCAATAGTCTTCTGAAGAATGTAGGCTTAGGTCCTGCATTTACTGGCCATGGACACACCAGCAAGGCTAACACCCTGCAAGCCAGGAACACCTGTGAAGAGCACAGCAGGAGTGGCAGGGTGGCTAGGGAGACCCTAAATGTGCTGCAGAAGTGAGGCCCTGGGACCTCTGCAGTCCAAGTTTCAAAGTTTCTGAAGAAGTGCTGGGAAGATTATGACGCTTGGCTCCCCTGCAGTCTCAGGAAGATGAGGTCAGCTCTTCGGGCCTCAACCACTCACCTGGAAAGCAATAACACTGATTGTCCCCAGGATGTTCCTGAGGTCCCTTTTAGGAGTTACTCTCAGTGATATCTAAATCAGTTTTCCTAAACTTTTTCTGAAGGACCCTTCACTCAAGTCATAGCGCTACAGCTCTGTGCAAAAAAGAAAAAAAATAAAGGATTTATTAATCTTATCTTACTACTACAGAGAAGCTTTCTTTCGGGGTTTCATTTCTAAGTATTTCCTCCTCTTCTTGCTTTTCAGGAAAACAGAGTCCCAACCTGGGCCAGGGGAAGAAGGAGCCTTCTCACAACTCTTCCATGGCTACCATTACTTTTTGAGGACAGTCTTGCATCCCAGCCAGATTTCCAGCACTTTCACACCATGGTCTTGTGCAAACCTCCCCGTGAACCCCCCACTCTTTCCTCAGCTCATTTTCAACTTCCTGCCTCTGTGGGTTTCTGTATCCTGAGACTTTTCTCCCTCCTCTTCTTTGTCCATTGAAATCCCATTGATTGTTTGGGGCCTTCCTCACTTCTCATTGATGCCCCTGGACTGGCCCATTGGGTCCCCCATACTCCTCTGTCTCCTGAGCCTTCACAGCAGCTGCAGTCTGTGCTGTTGGTTAGAGGACAGTCTTATTCTGCCTTGTTTCCTTTCTTGAGGGAGAAAACATCTCAGAAGTCCTTAAATATCTTATAGCCCTTGTAGTATGTCTTGGACAAAGTGACTGCTCTATAAATGTTTGTTGATTGATTTTTATAGTACGTGCTCAGTGAGATATGTATCCCACTGGTGATACTGGGAAATAAGTATTCAGTTTTAATTCCCATTTCCTGACATACAGATCCTAAAACGTTGGAATCTCCAGAGTGATGAGTGTCTTTTGTATGCTAATGAGATGTCTAGTGGCTGGGACCCACTAGTAAGCTTTAGGATGGGAGCTGATCATCTGGAAAGGACAAGACATGATCAGAGAGTGGGGCCTTTCAGTCCTATCCCCACCCTCTGGGGAGAAGGGGTTGAAGGTTAAGTTGGCCACTAGTGGCCAATGTTTTAACATCATTCCTACATACTAAAGCTTTCATTAAAAAAAGAAAAACACAAGACACTGTTTGAGGAGCTTCCAGATGGATGAATACATGGAGGTTCCTGGAGGTGGTTCCCCCAGAGAGGACACAGGAGCTCCTTGCTCCTTCCCACATGCCTGGCCTTGGCTCTCTCTGCCCCGTGGCTCTTCATCTGTATCCTTTGTAGTATCCATATTAGTAAATGGGTTAAGGTAAGCAAAGTGGTCTCCTGAGTTCAGGAGCCACTCTAGCAAATAGAACCATTATTAATTGAACCTGAAAAGAGGCTTGTAGGGCCCCCGATTTATAGCCCATCAGTCAGAAACCCACAACCCGGGGCTTAGCAATTGGCATCTGAAGTGAGGGAAGTCTTGTGGGACTGAGCCCTCAACCTGTGGGATCTGACACTATCTCCAGGTAGCTGGTGTCAGAATGGAATTGAATTAGAGGACACACAGCTGGAGTGCCTGCTACGGAATCTACAGAACGGGATGCTTGGTGTGTAGGGAGACAACACTCACCACCTGGTTACAGGAAGTGTTTTATATTTCGTGACTGTGACAGTATTAAGCATAGCAGGAGGAAAAGCCGCTTCCTCCCCCTGCCCTCAGACCTTACAGAATTGTACAGATCTTAGTTTATCAGAGACCTACAATAACATGGTATCAAAGTGGTCACAGGCATTCTTTTCAGTTTTCTTTTTTTTGAGATAGGGTTTCACTCTGTCACCCAGGCTAGAGTGCAGTGGTGCAATCTTGGCTCCCTGCAGCCTCAATCTCCCAGGATCAAGCGATCCTCCTACCTCAGCCTCTTGAGTAGCTGGGACTACAGGTGCATACCTTCATACCTGGATAATTTTTGTATTTTTGTAGAGATGAGGTTTTGCCGTGTTGCCCAGGCTGGTCTCCAACTGGCCTCAAGGAGTTGGAGACCAGCCTGCGCAACATGGCAAGGCATTCTTAGTTCATTCTCAGTTTTCAGATGGGCAGTCAAACTCAGAAGTTAGGTGATTTGCTCGGGTGAAAAGGCAGGTCTCTTGAGACCGAAGTTTGTGCTTTGGTTAAGAGCTTGAGCCTTGATATCAGATACCCAGACTAGGTTTTACCACTGAAGAGACCCTGTGTCCTTCCTTGTTGTCTTAGAGCCTCCATGTACTCATCTGTAGAATGAGGATAGTGATAATAGTACTTGCTTCATAGGGTGGTTGTGATATATGATGTCATACATGTGCCTAGCACATGGTTAATGCTAAATATACATTATTGGAAATATTATTGTCACTATTTTGACACATCACACTGCCTCCCTGGAAACAAACTTGTTAACTGTAAAGTGCTTCATGCCTAGAGCACAGTAGGCACTCATCAGATACTGAATCCCTTCTTTGAATATGTGGGTTAAAGCAGAAATCCCAAATTCCTAGGCCACAGACCACTACCTGTCCACAGCCTGTTAGGAACTGGGCCTCACAGCTGGAGGTGAGCTGTGGGTGAGCGAGCGAAGCTTCACCTGTGTTTACAGTGGCTCCCTATCATTTGCATTACCGCCTGAGCTCCACCTCTTGTCAGATCGGCTGCAGCACTAGATTCTTAGAGGGGTGAAAACCCTACCGTAAACTGCGTACATGAGAGATCTAGGTTGTGTGCTCTTTATGGGAATCTAATTTCTGATGCTATATCACTGTCTCCCATTACTCCCGGAGAAAAACATCTAGTTGCAGGAAAATAAGCTCAGGGCTCCCACTAATTCTATGTTGAGTTGTATAATTATTTCATTATATATTACGATGTAACAATAAAAAAAGTACACAACAAATGTAATATACTTGAATCATCCTGAAACCATCACCCCATCCCCAGTCGGTGGAAAAATTGTCTTCCACAAAACCAGCCCTGGTTGGTGCCTAAAAGGCTGGGGATGGCTGGGCAAAAGAATCATGTGGTTCTATCCTAGATTATCTCCTGAATGATGTTTCCAGCTCCAATCAATCAACAACATTACTCAGCCCTCACGCCCTCCTTCCTGCTTTCCCACCAGCTGACCCAGCAGAGCCAGGCAGCCGGCTAACTGGGCAGCCAAACAAGGTCGGAAGTTGGACAGGCTTACCCATTATTCACCATGCCTACAAATCAGCTGGAGAAAGCCCAGGCTGGTGGCCAGATGGAGGGTTTGCAGGCCAGCAAGGGAAGGGCTTGGCAGAGACAGCGCCACAGAGATGGCAGGTTGAGGTCACTTGCTCCTTTCTCCAGGGCAATGGGTGACAGAGACAGCCGTACAGGCCAATGGTAAGTAAGCCCAGGGGGAAACGTCCTGAATAAGTCACCAATGGGAAGCAGTTTCACTTTCCCTCTCTCTCTCAGGGCACGAGACCAGCTAAGCTCTGGGAAACAAGTTTTGGTGCCAGAGACTTCGGTGGCTTCCAAGACTGCTTTTTCAGAGACAGGTACTTGAATTCCTGCTTTCAGCTGAGGGGTCATTCCATCCATGCTCGGGGAGTGTGGAGGTGTGTCTGAATAGGGTCAGGGGACAGTGACGGACAGGCCATCGTGCCAGGACACACTGCGCTGCTGGCTTACTCCCCCTCCCCGGCAGCTGGTTATTCTTAGCCACAGATTGCTTGCCCTTTCAACCTAGTTTATTAGAGCTGTTTTGAGAGAGTTGCTGGATACGGGAGGTCGGCGTGCAACAACAAAGCCAGTAAGGGCATCGGTGGCTGCAGGGCTGCCATCCTCAATCCTGCCCCTACCAGGATGCTCCGGTCCGGGTCCCTTCCCTTTTCTTCCCTCTGCCCTGGCAGGCCTGCTCCCTCTCAGCCGACAGCCCACTGTACTGTAGTCAAATTAACAAATCAAATTAACACAGAAATGCATAGACTGCTCGAGGAATAGGAATAGCACTAAACCTCACTGGAGGGCTTTAAAGTCTCATAGTGCGAGAATCTTCAGAACTGGAAGAGAAAGCAGAGACCACTAACAACCAAGCCCACGTTTGTCCTGCCAACAGCCCTTGCTGAGGAAGCCGCCCACCCGCTTCCAGAGAAGGTGAACCTGTGTGTGTGGGAGGTCATGGTTTGTACCTTGTGGCCCAGTGCCCTGACCACTGTGCTGCGGACAGAGAAGGGCAACTATGCCAAGGGCAGATTCAGAGCCTGGCTTAGCCCAGCAAGCTGGCCTGGTGCTAGAATTTTGTCCAACAGGGGTGGCAATGACCAGGTGGGATAATTGCATTTTCTCTGTCTGGAGTTTAAACCTGAGCCATACAGAGAGAGTTAGAGCAGGAACGGAGGGGAAAAGCCAAAAACAGGGAAACAAGGCAGGTGGGGATGCTGGCAGTGGACCAAGGCTCCATGGTGAGGGGCGGGACACTAAGTGCCAGCCCCAGGATGCCCAGCTTGGGCTCCAGGATGTCTGCTACCGAGTTCCAGCTCGGTCGGGAGACCTCCACCCAGGCGGCGCTGAAGGCAATGAGAAGCAGACACCCAGGTAGAACAATAAAGTGGGTCTATCCAGGGTGCCTAGCGATCTGAGAGCCTCAGGCGCTGACAGCATTCCAGGCTGAAGGCCCCAAGCAGATGCTGATCCATGTATTTATTCTCTCTTAACAAGTGATTATTATTAATAAGCAGGTGTTCTGTATTCATTTATAACTCAAAAACATTCCAAGCAGTCAGCTGTTACCCACTTACCACTAATCACAAACTAAAAGGTATTCTCCACAAGGGAGCCATGGGGGCAGGTAAATGTAATGTTTCTCAACACTCTGCCCCCTGCATTTCCATTCAGACTCTTCCAAGGAGCCCCCTTTATGAGGCCACCTCACTGGGTCTCTCCTGTTTACCACCCAAAGGAGCAAGTAATCTGTCCATTCTATGTTACAGATGAGGGAGTCAAGGCGAGGAGACCACAAGATGCTCCTGAGGTTACAGGACCAGTCCAGGACAGAGAAGGGGCTGGTGTCAGAGGCAGATGACAGAGGAGATTGAGTTCAGCTGCTGAAACTTTCTGTGATGTCCTTCTTCTTAGAAACAAGTTTGTAGACAGAGTTGAGTTTCAAGTTGCTCATGGCTCATGCCCCTCACCACCGCTCCTCAGGTGGTTTCTGGGAGCAGAGACTACAGCTCTGTGGTTTTTCATCAGTCTTCCCTAGGTTGTACCCATGAGGAAAATGATTTTGGAAAGGGGGAAGAGGCCTGGTGTGGTGGCTCACTCCTGTAATCCCAGGACTTTGAGAGGCTGAGGCGGGTGGATCATGAGGTCAGGAGTTGGAGACCAGCCTGGCCAACATGCTAAAACCCCATCTCTACTAAAAATACAAAAATTAACTGGATGTGGTGGTGGGCACCTGTTATCCCAGCTACTCAGGAGACTGAGGCAGGAGAATTGCTTGAACCTAGGAGGCAGAGGTTACAGTGAGCTGAGATTTCGCCACTGCACTCCAGCCTGGTTGATTGAGCAAGACACCATCTTGGGGGGAAAAAAAAGAAAAAAGGAAAAGGGGAAGAATGAGTAGAAAACTCCCTCCAAATGCAGAGCTACTTACTGGCTGTGTGTTCTAAAGGCAAATCCAAGCCAGTTTTGTGCTACTCTCTAAAAACCCATAGAAACCTTGTTGCCCATATCCCAATAATTAATTAATGGAAAGTGAGCTTATAGCGATATCCTCTTTATCCCACAAGAAACACCAATAGACTAAGTTTTATTCTTAGTGGCTGAAGACCTAAGGGAAAAACTGTCAAGGCCAAACTTTGTCTGGCTGGGATAATCCTTAAAACAAGGTGGATATTTCCCTCTTCACAGGCCCATGGACACAGCACAGATTGCAGTTGTTGGGGCAGGTGTGGCAGGGCTCTCTACGGCTGTGTGCATCTCCAAGCTGGTACCCCGATGCTCCGTTACCATCGTTTCAGACAAGTTTACTCCGGATACCACCAGCGATGTGGCAGCTGGAATGCTCATCCCTCACACTTATTCAGGTGAGAGATTTCAGCTCCTGTGTCAAACACAGTAAATGTCTGATGGAATGATGTTAGTGGAATTCTCTCGACAAAGATAGCTGGCTGTAGGTGTAAGGGTAATGCCTGTTTTTTTTTTTTTTTTTTTTCTTTTTCTTTCTTTTTTTTTTTTTTTGAGATAGGGTTTTACTCTGTCACCCAGGCTAGAGTGCAGTGGTGCGATCTTGGCTCACTGCAGCCTCAATCTCCCAGGCTCAAGCGATCCTCCTACCTCAGCCCCTTGAGTAGCTGGGACTACAGGTACATACTTTCATACCTGGCTAATTTTTGTATTTTTTTAGAGATGAGGTCTTGCCATGTTGCCCAGGCTGGTCTCCAACTCCTGGCCTCAAGCGATCCACCTGCCTCTGCCTCCCAAAGTGCTAGGATTACAGCTGCCATGCTTAGTTTTTACATCCTGTTGGTTCATCTCTTAGGACAGCCTCAGTTATGCCGCAGGACAAAAACAACCTCCAAATCTTAGCAGCTTAAAAGGCAAAGGTTTGTTCATGCTCACACTACAGGTGGGTTGAGTATCAGCAAGGGGCCAGCTTGTCATCCAGGGTCCTAAGACAGTGGAGCAGCTGTCATCTTGATTGTCATCAGTGCATGTGCCCAGGGGCAGGGATCTCTGAGGGTCTCACTTCTATGATTAAACACTCTGGACAGGAAGCAACTTTTAACACTTCCAGTGATAGCTCTTTGGCAGAGCAGGCCACATGTCCCCACCCTCAGCAGGAGGCCAGCAAGTGTGACTCTATAGTTCCTAGAAGATGTGTAGCAAAAGCATGTGATGAACAGCACTGACGACTATGTGATTGGTGGCTCTGCTTTTCCACTGACACTCAGTAATGTCCATCAAGTCAGAAATTACTTGTAGTGGAACTAAAATTATCCTGACTTCTAAGCCTGTATAAGAATAATTATCAATATGTTCGTAATTAGTCGATCATAGTTAGTCCATATGTATTAAAACCTGAAGATGCATGGACTTTTTTTTTTTTTTTTTTTTGAGACAGAGTTTGCTCTGTCACCCAGGCTGTAGTGCAGTGGCATGATCCTGGCTCACTGGCTCACTGCAACCTCCACTTCTGGGGTTCAAGCAATTCTCGTGCCTCAGCCTTCTGAGTAGCTGGGACTAAAGGCATGTGCCACCATGTCCCGCTAAGTTTTGTATTTTTAGTAGAGACAAGGTTTTGCCATGTTGATCAGTCTGGTCTCGAACTCCTGGCCTCACAGTGCTAGGATCACAGACGTGAGACACTATGCCCCACCAGTGCATTGATTTTTGAACAAGTCCACGCATTCTTTCCTTTCTGCATTTTCCACTTGAAATGAGAAGAGGAAGAAAATAGCATTAAATAGAAACCAAAATCACACTGCAGAAATGAGGTTTATACTCATTGTCCCCATTTTCTCATTTCCAGTCTTTTACTTCTTTAATTTTATTTTTTATCAAAGTTATATATGTCCAAAGTTTAAATGATCAAATAGTTTACACCATTGATTACGAACCCCAGCAATCTGGAATATAAAAATTGCCCTGTCCTTTTAATCTGGAAACGCATGTTCTTCAATTTGAGAAGCAGCCTTGGAGTTACTCAGTTGTTAACTTCCTCCCTTCTGAAGTCCTTACAGCATCATGGCTAAGCATGGCGGCTGTAATCCTAGCACTTTGGGAGGCAGAGGCAGGTGGATCGCTTGAGGCCAGGAGTTGGAGACCAGCCTGGGCAACATGGCAAGACCTCATCTCTACAAAAATACAAAAATTAGCCAGGTATGAAAGTATGCACCTGTCGTCCCAGCTACAAATCTTTCTGGAAATGTTGATATGCTGGACCTCCCAGACTGGTCCTCCAATTCTTTTAGTTTTTTCCTCCTCCTATTTATCTTTCTTTATTTTACTTTCTGAGAGACGTTCTCAATTTTATCTCTTATCTTGATATTGAATTTTTTATTTCTACTGCAATATTTCTAATATTCCAAAGCTCTTTTTTGTTCTCTGAATTTTCCTTTAACATGTTATTTGTGTTAGAGGGTTGTAATGTCTTACCTTATCTTTATGGAGATACTAATACAGTTTTTAAAAACTTTCTCCCTGAGTAGTGTCTGAGTTTCTGTCATCTCCAAATTGTGGGGGCTTTTTGTTTTATGAGGTTCTCCTTTTTCATGATAGAGGTTTTTCTTGGCCATGTGGTATTCTTTACCTGTCTATTAATGTTTATGAGTGGAACCCTGAACAGCAGATAGGAATTTCTGAGTGTTTGCATAGGCCTTGTTGCTTATGAGTTTGCTGGAGTAAGAGGGCAGGGCCATTTATTTGGAGACATCTGTGATGTCATTCAGTTTAAGCTTTTCTTCTTGGGTGGGTCATGTTTCCCAGGGAAGAGGCTTCCATGACCTGCCTGGGGAGAGTGAAGGCCCAGATGCCAGCTGGCATTCTAGAAGGTGAGGGGGGAAGAGGCTGGGGTCTTAGCATACAGTTTGCATGGGTTTCCTTAACCCTCCTGTTTTCAGCGTGGCATCCCTGCCTTGGTGCTTGGTGTTTTCCAGCCCAAAGACCCCTAAGAAAGAATAGACACATCTTTTGTTAGGGTGGTAATGGCAGTGGCCTTTGCTTTGCAGGTCTGGGAACTTGGCTGGTCAGCTCCTGGTAACTACCTCCCGGGAAACAAACACAGGTACCTGGTATGTCCACCAGATGCCAGCTGATATAGTTTGGCTGTGTTCCCACCCAATTGTCATCTTGAATTGTAGTTCCCATAATCCCTAAATGTCATGGGAAGGATCTGGTGGGAGGAAATTGAATCATGGAGCCAGTTACCTCCATGCTACTGTTCTCACAATAGTGAGTGATTTCTCAGGAGATCTGATGGTTTTATAAGGGGCTTTTCCCCCTTTGCTCAGCTCTCATTCTTCTCTTCCTACCACCATGTGAAGAAGTACTTGTTTGCTTCCCTTTCCACCATGATTGTAAGTTTCCTTAGGCTTCCCCAGCCATGCTGAACTGTGAGTCAATTAAACTTCTTTCCTTTATAAATTACCCTGTCTGGAGTATGTCTTTATTAGCAGTGCCAGAACAGACTAATACACCAGCTTACACTAGGTGCTTTTCTTGTGACGAGAATTCTTGAGACCGTTTTCCAGGCTCCCCCTTTTCTGCTCCAGGCCTGAGTGAGTGTTCAGAAGGCTATCAGCTAGTCATAGAATCATCCCTCAAAGAGGATCACTCATCTAAGGGTTCATCAGGCCATCGAGGCCCGCACCCTCTCTTTGGCCAGGTGGCTCGGTCTCCTGGCCCAGGGTTTTTATCTCTGTGGTGCTGCTAGATAAAGACTTGGTCTTCTCATTAGGTTTTTTTTCTAAACATTATTCAGATGAGTCCCAGTCATAAATATCTCCTGTGCTCATAAATGCCAATACCATATGGAGGCCATGCCTGTCCCATAGGGTTGCTCTGGGGATTAAATGAGTTGATATACGTAAACATTTAGAAGAGTACCTGGCACATAGTGAGTGCTATATTGGCATTTGCTATTATTCCCATCATTCCGGCTATAGTTGGTGTTGCCAGCACTCGAACGTGAATTAGATTACCAGGCTTCCTAGACCCACTGTTGAGTGGGAATTGTCTGTACTTTCGGGATAACTTCTGCAGCATGTGAGTCTCTGCCACTATTTTGTTTTTAAGGTTTGGGGTGAGAACAGGGAGTTGCATTTCAATACAACCTCACACATTGGCATAGATTGTTGGGTAAAATCTACTTGAGGTCTAATTTAGTTCTCTCTGAAGCTTATAATTTATTTGTTCCTTGTTTCTACAGCAGCATCCCCAGTGTGCAATTTTGGAATATAGCGTTAATTTCACATGGGCACATGTTTAAAATTGGCAGTAGAGGTTTGCTACTAGAGAAATATTTATTGGCCCTATAACAAGTGAATTGTCTGAAATATCCCACTAGTGACATGACTTCAGTGACCTGGGGGCTTTGCCTGGGAAGCAGAATGTCTCCAAAGATCTTTCTATCTGTTCCTTGAATTTCAGCGATACCTCTCCAAGTGGAGCCAACCTAGCATCCTCTCTGCCTCAGTTTCCATGTCTCCTCTGTGGCTCCCCTCATAGCAACCCCTCAGGCTTATTGTTCCTTTGTCCCTGCCCTAACACTAGCCACTCTCTCGTGATCCTTCCACAGGAATCAGAGGGCCACATACTTCAGCCACAGCTGGATTTGTGTGTGATTTGGGGTCACTCCTGCTCTCTCTGTGCCTACACTGGACACTATTATTTTGAGGCTTAAACCCTGCATTTTGTTTCTTCCCCAACAGGCCTGGCACCCTTCTAAAAGCTGTGTCTGGGTCCAACCTCATGTGCTTTGGCAGAGATGCCTGGGGGATGGTGTAGTCCCCGTATACTGTGCTGACCTCAGAAATGCTGCTCTGGCTGGCACCTAATTCCTTGGTGTGGAGGGTAATGGCAGCCCCTGCTGGGAAGTCTGACCTGCAGGGGGCTGCCTCCAGCATGCAAGGCTTGTTTCCTTGTACCAGGAGGCGAGCCCCTAGGGCTCCCCATCAAGGTGCAGTCTGTTCCCTGTCCTGATTGATCTGGGCCCCACAGACCTGCTCATGTCATCCATTATGTTTTCAGTCCCCCAAAAATAGGCCCTTGGTCCTTTGTCCTATTGTCTCAACTGTGTGGCCAGCTGGATCCTGTAGCCATGAAATAAGCTCTGCTCAGGTTGGTTATAGATCTGCCAAGGACCTCTGCAATATACCTAGTACCAAAGACCACCTTCCAGCTGGCTCGCAGGTCAGGTTTGGCCCTTATTGGCCTGTTTTTCCTCCATTGATTAATCATATGAGCAGATATGGACAGCATGTGTCAACATGCAAATCTCTTGTTGCTGGCAGATCCTCCACCACAATGTGGTACTTTATATTAATATTCCTCCCCGCTTCCTTATTGTATTTTTGCCTCCTAATTTTTCTCCAAGTTTCTGGGAAGGAGTTTATTTGAAGCACTGTCATCATCATCATTTTCCTCTCTGTTCTGCTTTGCTTTTCTCCATGATTACAGACACACCCATTCACAAGCAGAAGCAGTGGTTCAGAGAGACCTTTAATCACCTCTTTGCAATTGCCAATTCTGCAGAAGCTGGAGATGCTGGTGTTCATTTAGTATCAGGGTAAGTGAGGAAATCTGAAGTTGTTTTAGAATGTAGAGTGGTCTTAATGGGCATTAGAGTTCAACATAAAACATTTATTGAGTATCTGCTGTGAGCAGAGTGCTGACTTAGATGCAGGAGGATTCAGAAAGAGCATTACAGGCTTTACTCCAGAGAACTTAAGAAAGACAAGTTGTGGTATTACACTTTTTTTAACAATAAACAGCAATCACGGTTTTGCATCACAAATACGACTGATTTTGGGTTTCCTTGGAGACCATGCAGTGATTGGCAAATTTGGTTAAAAAAACATGTAGGAGGTAAATGATGGGCTTGGGTGATGTGGGGATGGTGCAGCTGATGGAAAGCAAACAGGTAGGATGTTGGAATGGCTGCAGAGACCTAAGGGAGAGGGACTTCTTGTTTATTTGGTGTCCTTGGAGAATGAGATATTCCAAATAAGTAAATTTTAGGTCACTAAACTTGTCTTTTGAAGTGCCATTTGGAAAAATATATTCCTGAAACTGTTAGCACACTTCTATTTCATTTTTAGGTGTAATTTCAGTAGATATCCATAATTAAATGAAAGTTTGAGAATAAATACTATTTAACATTTCTGTTAGTAAGACTAGCATTTAAAACATGACATCTTTTAGTATCTTCTTAAACAGAGATCCCTAAATATTCTATTACTTTCAATTTACATCTCAGTGTCATCATATCATATGATGTAAAAACATGTCGTTGGTGTATGTTACTCATGTAACATACTTGTTATCCTGTGTGATAACACAGTCTTTCTGCAGTCTTCTGAAAAAATGTGTCTTACCTCCTCTTTCAATGTCAGGCTGTCCACTGACGTTTTCTGCTAGTCTAGTGTATACACTTGAATTGGGTGAATTTCTACCCTTTTTCTCTTCTTGCTTTCCCTTACCATTGCAAACATCAAGACGATATTGACATCAGCAATTTCCCAAAAGCCCCTCCCCCAAGTAGCAGCTTTGCTTTTCTATCAATCTATGGATCAACTCTTCCGTATAACTAAATGTAGAGCCAGTTGATGAGCCAAGTAGAAAAAACGTCTCATTGATTTACAATCACACTGTCTTTTCCCAAAAACCAACGTGAATCAGTCTCATTCACAAATTTTGGCTCTAAATAATTTTTGGAAACAGCCATGTCCAGAATTCAAATGTCCTGTGCATCTTTGGCATAAGTATATAGCCTTATTCATCTATTCATTTCTTCAAAATGATATATTCAGCATTCTTCAGAATCAGGTTCTTTCTTAGGTATTAGGCCTATAGCAATGAGCAATTTAGTAATACTGCTTGGTATATGGTACGTGCTTAATAAATATGTGTTGAGTTAATTTTTAAAGAAGCCAGACACAGTCCTTCCTTACGTAGCTTACAGTCTGTAGGGAATGCACTAAATCAAATGAGTTACCATACTGACTGGGACATGAGTTACCAAAAAGAAGAGGGTAGGGTGCTTTGGAAGCATATGTCTGGAAAAGAAATTTGCTCTGAGAAGTGATGAGAAGCCATCCAGATCAAAGTGTTTTATCTGAGACCATCAGGAAGAGTGTAAGTTAGACTGGTGATGTTGTAGAGTTGAAGTGGGGGCAGAGACCAGGTGGGAAAAGGAGACAGCATTCCAGGTGGAGGGAACAGCACACACCTAGACCTGAGTCTAGGGTGACTGTGATACGTGGGAGGGACTGAAGGAAGTCCAGAGAAATGAGAAGCCATTGAGAGAGTTTACACAGTGAAGTGAGTGGTCATAATTGCATTTCAAAGATGTTTTCTGCAGTGTAGAGAATGGATTTGTGGGAAGAGACGATGATGAGATAGATAGGGTGTGGGTAGTAGAAACAGAGTAGATGGACTTGAGAAATGCCTAAGAGGAGATTTGCTGGGACTTGACAGTTGATGGTGTGTGAAAGGTGAGTAGGGAGAGAGAATCAAAAATGATTCTTGGGTTTCTGGGTATTAGCACCTGCCTGCATGGATGGATAACTCATTTTCTGAGTTATGTAGGAGTGGGAAAGTTGTGTGTGTGTGTGTGTGTGTGTGTGTGTGTGTAAATGCATGAGACTTCTAAGTGGACTTATCCTGTAGGGAGTAGATAACATGGGTCAGGATCTGTTTTTGGAACTCAAGAGAGAGAATGGACTGGAGTTACAAGCTTCTAAGTGCTCAGGACTGGAGAGGTGGCCTTCTAAATGTCTCGCCTGTAGGTCATGGTGAGGATATGGAAGAGGGCAATCTAGCCCAGGGCAAGAGTGGGCCAGCACAGAGCGCTGCAGTAAAGGACATTTGCACCTTCATGGGGACTGTTCTGAATCAATTACCTAGAGATGCACATTCTGATATGGGAATTATTAGCAACTATGCACAGCACTCAAATTATTTTCCTTGCTTTTTTTGAGTAACGATGATTTCTAACATTTATTCTTCTTTTTTTTGTTTTGAGGCAGGGTACCACTTGTCTAGGCTGGAGTGCAGTGGTGCAATTCAGCTCACTGTAGCCTCCACCTCCCAGGGCTCTGTTGATCCTCCCACCTCCACCTCCCTGATAGCTGGGACTACAGCCTTATGCCACCACACCTGGCTAATTTTTGTATTTTTTGTAGAGATAGGGTTTCACCGTGTTGCCTGGACTGGTCCCGAACTTCGCCTCAGCCATCCAAAGTGCTGGAATTATAGGTGTGAGTCACAACTCCTGGTATTTTAACATTTATTCATTTACTGATAAAAACAACCCAATACTTACCAATCTAAACATTTGCATAGCAGCTATTAGTAGTACTATTACAGCCTTCTTGTTAACAACCAAATCTGGGCAAGAGCTTTTTAGAAAAGAAGTATTAAATTCAATCTTTAAAAGGCATGTTACTTTTAAGATATCTTATTTGCCCAATCACCAACATCTGCTATTTATTTAGCTACTGAGTTATCTGAATCCAAGAGGATAGTAAAATAGATCATTTTCTCTTTGTGTTTATATAAGCTACATTTTTTAAATGCTCTAGGCCAGGTGTGGTGACTCATGCCTATAATCCCAGCACTTTGGGAGGCCAAGGCAGGTGAATCACTTGAGCCCAGGAGTTTGAGACCAGCCTGGGCAACATAGTAAGACCCCGACTCTACAAATAATTTAGAAAATTAGTTGGAAGTGGTGGCATGTGCCTGTGGTCCCAGCGACCTGGGAAGCTGAAGCAGGAGGATTGCCTGAGCCTGGAAAGTTGAGGCTGCAGTGAGCCATAATTGTGCCACTGCACTCCTGCCTGGGTGATGGAATGAGACCCTGTCTCAAAAATAAAATAAAATAAAATAAGTGTTCTACAGAATGTCACATGAAGTTTACTATAAATACGTTATTTTACAAATTTCAGGAAATTTTTTCATTTAATGTGTTTGAGTTGGCAGATATTTCAGAGCACTCCTACTGAAGAAGTGCCATTTTGGGCTGATGTGGTTCTGGGATTTCGAAAGATGACTGAGGCTGAGCTGAAGAAATTCCCCCAACATGTGTTTGGTCAGGCTTTTACAACCCTGAAATGCGAATGCCCTGCCTACCTCCCGTGGTTGGAGAAAAGGTCAGTTGAAATGTTCCTTGCTATTTCCTTATCTGTCATAGCCATAAATCATTTCATAGCTATTCATAAAATACATACTGAAAAGTCTCTGCCATCCCTCAGAGCTCTTTTACATTGTCTTGTCACTCACAAATGACTAGGGCTTTGTAAAACAATCTGCAGACAGTGTTTGTGTCACAAGGACTAAGTCACACTGTGCTTATAGTAATTTGTCTGTCTTCTATTTTTGGTGTGTACCTTGATGTCTGACTTATTCCCTACCCTTCTTGACCCAGGTAAAACCCTCTTGTTGAAACAGTATCTTAGTTTTCCTCATCTGTAAAATGAACAGTTTTGAAAATGTGTTTCCAGCTATAAAATGATATGATTTACTCTAATTCTTTGGATGAGAGAATCACTTGCTTATTATAAATTATTATTGAATTTTTTTCTCATTTGCGGTATAGAAAAAAATTTCATTATTTCCTTTTGTCTTAAATCAGAACTCTAAAACCGAGGGCCTATCTAAATTGTCACTGCTTCCTCACTAAGTTCAGCCCATAATAGCTTGAACTTGCATTTTGGCTTACTTTCCAGGACTTTTGGGAAACTACTACCTATTTTCCAGTTAGGAAACACATCAAGAGTGTCTTTATTTGAGACGCATCAATAAATCTGTCTTTAGTTTATTCTGGACTTGCAGGCATGTTGAGGGTTGTGAAACATTTGTCCTTTCGATGCCCACATGTGTGTATTTGATAGGTAAATAGGGACAATGTGAATTATCGTGTAAATGTTGGAAAAGTGACTTGACGTAAGCTGGGGCAACAGTGATCTGATTCCAGATGTAGGCTCTAGGATAATTGATTCATATAATTCACTAATTACACAATTTTTTGTTGAACACATATATATGGCATTATGCTAGAAGCTGGTCAAAAAGAAGAATAGAATATGATTTCTTTTAAAAATAATTTTCTGGTGTATCGGGGATGACTATGTGTGTATGTGTTTGTATATTAATTAACAATGACAGTAACACACATGGTAAAATAAAGTACAGACTTATGCAGGTTGGAATGGGAGCACAAAGGAGGAAGCCTAGGACTGCTAGGCACATGTCAGTGGCATCAGGATCCAGTTTTGCAGCTTTATAAGTGCTCTTCTCACTTTTACCTCTTATCAATTTATACAGGACATTTTGCTTCTGTAAGTTTTAGTTTTGTAAAACCCATGCCCTTTTGTGCCTTGTTCACTGGCCCATAAATCACTGTTTATATGCTGAGTTTGGACTTGTATACATCAGCGGATAAACATATATTTTGAGCTATCACGTGATGAAGTTGCCTGCCAGCCAACATTGCAAATTTTAGCGGCATCATCACCTTTCCTGAGTGGCAATAGTGTGTAGTGTTGCATTTTTCCCCTTATAAAAATGACTAGAAATAGAAAATTGGAAACACTCATGCTAGTGATAAGAAATTGAGGCATCAGCCAGGCGCGGTGGCTCACGCCTATAATCCCAACACTTTGGGAGGCCGAGGCAGATGGATCATCTGAGGTCAGGAATTCAAGAACTGCCTGGCCAACATGGCAAAACCTGTCTCTACTAAAAGTATAAAAATTAGCTGGGTGTGGTGGCAGGCACTTGTAATCCCAACTACTTGGTAGGCTGAGGCAGGAGAATCGCTTGAACTTGGGAGGCAGAGGTTGCAGTGAGCCAAAATTGAGCCACTGCACTCCAGCCTGGGCAACTAGTGAGACTCCATCTAAAAAAAAAAAAAAAAAAAAAAAAAAAGGAAAAAGAGAAAGAAATTGAGGCATCATATACCTTATGTTAATAATCCAAAATATAAAACAAAAAAATTAGAACGTGGAAAAAGGCAAAAAAAATAAAATTTAGGTAAGTGGAAATTATTAGGTATGCCAAAAAGTGGTAGAGTTTAGATTCAATACAATGCATAAGTATTTGGATTATGACCCCAAAGAAGCTCAAAATGGAAGAACATTTATAAAATATTATGTATAAAAGGTAAAAAAAATTAGCCAAGCATGGTGGAACATGCCTGTAGTCCCAGCTACTCAAGAGGCTGAGGCAGGAGAATTGCTGGAATCTGGGAGGCAGAGGTTGCAGTGAGCCAAGATCACGCCACTGCACTCCAGCCCGCACAATAGAGGGAGACTCCATGTCAAAAAAAAAAAAAAAAAAAAAGGTGAGGTGTCATTAGGGAGTTTAACATTTTTATATATATATATATATTTTAGTGGTCTTGGGCTAAAGTTTCATTATTACCCCCAAGTCCATTGTGTGGCTTTCTCATCTTGAATTTTTGTCTTAATTATCAGGAAGGTCTCTAGAAAACTTGGCTGGAGCCCTGTGGTCTCTGGCAAATCAGGAAGATGCAAATCAGTGGGAACCTGAGAGTGTTGTTCTCCCTCAGTGACACGGTCAAGGGCTGATCAAGGGCGTGGGGACGGCCAGGGGTGTGTGTAAGGGATGGTAATGGACACAGAGCTAAGGGAGGTAGAGGAACTCCGACTCTTCATCCAGATTCCTAAACATTTTGCTTCACTATTTTCTCTTCTATTTACTCCTTATACATATTTTCCTTCAGAACCATTTGAAAGTAAGTTGTAGATACGATGCCCCATTATTCCTAATTACTTCTATGTTTGTTAGTTAGTACATTTATTTACTTATTTTGAGATGGAGTTTTGCTCTTGTCACCCAGGCTGGAGTATAATGGCGCGATCTTAGCTCACTGCAATCTCCGCCTCCCAGGTTCAAGCAATTTTCCTGCCTCGGCCTCCCAAGTAGCTGGAATTACAGGTACACACCACCATGCCCAGCTAATTTTTGTATTTTTAGTAGAGACGGGGTTTCACCACATTGGCCAGTCTGGTCTCAAACTCCTGACCTCAGGTGATTCAACCATCTCAGCCTCCCAAAGTGCAGGGATTACAGGCATGAAGCACTGTGCCTGGCCCCATGTTTAAATACTTAAATACTTGTTTTCAGAACACGGGCATTCTCTTACATAAACACAGTACTATAATAAAATCAATACCATTATATTGATACAACACTATAATCTGTGGACCTTACTCATATTCTTCCAATTGTCCAAATAATGTCCACATATAAATATAAATACACACAACACGTCACTTTTTCCCAGTCCATGATCCAATCCACAATCACACATTGTCTTCAGTTGTCATGTCTCTTGAGTCTTTAGTCTGTCTTTGTCTTTTATTACACTTACAACTTTGAATAGTACAGACCAGTTGTTTTCTATAATAGACTGTCCCTCAATTGGGGTTTGTGTGATGTTTCCTCGGGATCAGATTGAGGGCCTGCATGTTGGCATGAGAATGCACAGAAGTAATGTTGAATCCTTATTGCCTCATAGCAGGAGGCCAATGGTATCAGTTTATCCCCTTATTGAGGCTGTTAACTTCCGTTACCCAGAATGCCAGGTATCTCTTCTGTGAGGTTACTACTTTTTCTCTTTGTAATTACTAATATTTTGTTGTGATATACCTGAGAGTATGTAAATATCTTATTCCCATGAAACGAGTTTCTATGAAAGTAGTACTTTCATCTATGAGTTTTAGCATCCATTGATGATTCTTGCCTGAATTATTTATTACTGTGATGTTTGCCAAGTGATCATTTCATAACTCCATCTACATAGTTTGTTTTCTACTGCGAAGAAGTTTTCCTTTTCCTGTATTTATTTATATCAGCATGGACTGATGGATACCTATTTTGTTAAATGAATTATTATCTACCCCCTCTTATTATTTTGATGTTCAAATTGTCCAAGATTAACTGTGTAGGAGCTTCTTCAAACTGCTCCTGTGTCTTTTTGATATGTTCACTTGATTTGCCTTTCTTTTAAAAGCTTTTATTTATTTATTTATTTTTTACTTTGGGGCACAGTAAAATTCCACACACAGCCAGTTGCGAGAAGAAAAACATTTTCTTTTCATGAATATTTTCCACCATCTTTCCCTTAACACAAACCTGAGGCAATGCCACAATTTAAATTTGTGAATTCAGTGCAGGAAGAAATTGTCTTTACTCTTTTTCCATTCTTTTTTCCTCTGTCCCCTGAAATTTTCTGTCTGTTGCAATGTAAATCCTGATTTGAGGTGTAGCTAAAGAACACACCCAACATCAGACCAACCTCTACCACAACCAGCAGGAAGGCCAAGTTGGCATTTAGAATTTATAGATTCCTGAGAGTGTTGCATCTTCACATGGCAGCAAGGAGGCCCAGGGACACGGCAGGAAGCACCTGCACTCTATCCATATCTCCCCTGAAGACAGTTGTCCTTGGCCACTCCGTGGGCTCTGGGGTGCACACAGTGGCACAGTCTGCCCCTGGGAGGAAGACAATGCAGGCTCTGGAAGAGGACAGGGAATATGGGGATCTTGGGTCCCAGAAGACAGGCTGGAAGTGAAGGGAGAGGGTTCTGGGTGGGCACATGCAGGAGCCCCAAATACTTCCTTGAGAAGAAGGGCATGGCTGGAGAAGGGCCAGAGCCGGCTCCTCCAGGTACCCAGCTGAAAGAAGGTGCGGCCCAGATGAGCCAGGATAAGTTTTGCATCCTAGTGATAGCCTTGAGCTTATGGGTAATCAGGGAAGGGAGTGTGAAGCGTTTCTTCACCAATTTTCTTCTGCCCAAACTTTCATCAAAGCATTGGCTCTAAAGCCTAGACGTGCATCGAAAATGCCTAACTACTCCTGAGGGAGAGGGCTCAGTTGCTTTCGTTTTGCTTTAAAGGGCAAATTGTTGATAAGGCCCTGGGTAGATGAGGAGAGTTCTGGTGAGGCAGGGACGAGGCGTGAAGGCCCAGGGTACCTGAAGGGGTATCACTGTGGGAGGGGGCAGAGGCAGGGACATGCCAGCCTTCCCCCACCAGCGCACAGTCACCTTCTCTGAGGAATCCTCATAAGTCTCGCAGCTGGCCTGGTGATGTTCTGCATCACAGGCAGCGACCTCCTCTGTGG